ATATAACTATATACTATACTAAATACTTAAATTCTAATTATCATCAAACTAATTTATATTTTCAATGTGCCATTCAACATAATATTGTGCAGTTTAAGTAAAATCTATTAATATTATGTGCATATTACATGCGTGATGTAGTACCTGTATAATTAAAAATTAGAAGAAGACAATTTTAATTTTGAAATATTCATCATAAGTACTTAGTTAATTTATTGTATTGTTTTTTTATACGTAACTACTGTTTTAGTTTATTATATAATAGTTAAATTTAATTTAATAAGTTCATTTAAAATCTTATAAATTCTAAAAATATTTAAATATTGTTATTTTCAAATTATTTTTTTGTCTAGTCACGGGGACAATACATAGATGACATAGGTTTATACATTTAAGAGTAATGGTAAAATATTATGAAACTGATATGTGCACTTTCGAAAAATAATTTTGTGCACAAAGTCGTATCCACGTGGAGCCATGGAGGTCAAGTTAGGTTTTGGAGTTTTAAAGTTGAAACCTCTTCTATATTACATAACTTTAAAAGCAATATCTTACACATACGTTAGGTTGGGTTAGGTTATATATAAGTTAAAAAAAGACTTAAAAAACACTCTACAAGAAGGTAAACATTTCCAAAACCATACTATCGAGTGTCACGTTTGAGTACTATTTAGTTTACTATACTAAGTACATTGAAGTAATTTTCAAATATTATGTTCTTCTAAAAATAGTTGATATAATACGATTGATATTTAATTTTTTTAAAGTATTTATAATAAATAAAGATACTTAACCATAATATAAAATAGATTTTGTTTAACATGAGTTCAATAGAATTTTAACTTTTGTGTCATTTTTTTTTAAACTAAGTGGGTATCCATAAATATTTAATGTAGCAATACCTATCCACAGAAAACTATAAAATAGAAGTGCTGTATAGGCATATCTATATTATATAGCTATACATGCATTTTTTGGAAGGAGATTCAACACAAAAACGTGTTTACAGACTACAATTTTTTGTATAAACATCATTATTAAACGTAACAAGCTTCAGATCAGATTTTAAAAATAATAAACCTAAATTTAATTTTATATTGTTTACCTAAAATGCATGGTATATTGTTATTTTACTTATTTAACGATTCGTTGAAAATTAGAACTATTATATAAGCTGATTTATTCAAATTATACAAAACAGATGGATATGTTACATTTTTAATCATTGGGCGAGTTTCTCGAAGCTCGAATTTTTTATCTTACTACTTTTAATAATGATATTAAACATATTTGAGATAAAAAATAATGTATTTAACTTTTATTGTTATACCATGTCATCAGATTCCATTCTGTTAGAATTTAAACTAGGTATGTTTGCCAAGTTGTGGATGTTTTTGTTTTATATTCGTCATCGCTCGAATAAAATAAAGTCTATAATATATGTTTCATTGTTTTATCACATTCACATTCGCTCATTTTTTTGCAACTCTAAGTTTGTTATATTTTTCGAAGTTGTATCAAAATCGTATTTACTTAGTGTTTGTTAATTACCTACTTTCACTAAATGTTAACATTTCCATTTTTGGTACATGATAAAGTTTTTTTTAAATATTTCAACTCTTTTTAAGCTGTTTAAAGGCATAACAATTTTTGATTTTTATTGATTTTAGTCAAAAAACTTGAAAATTTAGTTTGAAGTTCCTCAATGATTATTGTAATATCAAGAAATAAAAACAAAAAAAAAAAAAATTTAAAGATAAATATGCACAATTTTTTTCTTTAAGTATTTAAAATTCAAAATTGTCAAAATCCTTCATAATTTTTATAGCTAAATATTGGAAATCTAAAACAAGGTTTCTCATAAGTATTTCCTACTGTAATCCAAAAATAAATATACACAGTTTCTTATTACATATTTTAAGTTCAAATTTAGACAAAATTGCATATTTAAACTGAAATAATATGATTTTAGTTGTTTATATTCAAATGTTCATATTAGTGATACAGTAAGTTGAAAGTTTTAATTTTTGCCTTAACCATTGCTTTTATTATATTATTTATATTTCATTATTATTATAATAGTATGTATTCAATATTTATATCATAAAATATTATTGTTTTTAACTTTTGAATCAATACCAACTTACAGTGATAGAACAAAGTGAATAGATTTTTGGTATAAATAAGCAATCTGCAATACCATAAACTGAATTTAAATGTTTTGAAAATGTCACTGTAACATTGAGTATATAAAATATAATAATATACATAAGAGTTTCAAATCCACAAGAAAGATATTTTAGAATTATATAACAAAATAATTTTTTACTAATTTTTTGAACTTTAAATTTATGGTAATATTAATTTTTTTGAGGCGTCCTGGCCTATGATAACTTAACCAGGAACATTGAATTACATTTTAAAGCCTTAGCTGATCAAATTGAACATTTTATTTATTTTTGAATACAAAATAATTTTCAAATTTTGAATTTTATTAAAATTTAAGCTTCAAATGGTTATAATAAATCTGTTTCACGGACCTTTTATATTTTCAAATAATAATAATAATAACAACATATGAGAAACATTGTATTAATTTTTGAACTTTTTGATCGAGTGAAAAATTTAAAATTGCACATGCTTATAAATAGCTCAAAAATAGTCAAAATATTTTGAAAAATATACCACGTTTAGAAAACGCCAATATAAATATTTGGTAAAATTTGTAGGTATCTATGGTTTTTTGTTTTTGAATTACAGCAAAATAAAAATTAATTTCGTCGAAAACTATAGTTATGCTTAAAAATGTCAGTTTTTCCCTAATTTTTTTTTTGTTTTCCCAATTATTATGAAAAGTTCTGGGAATTCTTCCAGAAAAGGGTTAAGAGACTGAAAATAAAAATTTTTCTTACTTTTTCTACTAGGTATAAAAAGAGTTTTCACACGATAAAAAAAACCCAAATCAATGTAAAATCAATACATTCGTCGTTCCGGCTCAGAATCTAAATCAATTCGTGATGTTTTAAACGAAATATATTGTTTTATTCTGACCTTGAGATATTGGTACAAACTTTCATACATAATGTTAACATATTTCATCATGACAGTTGTATGATTTAAAATATTCTACGTTTTACCTCAAACATGTACGTTATTACTTAACATATATATCGCGGCTTACGAGTACCTATATTGAGGTATAGACTAAACTGTAACTGTAACTCATAACAAGTCATAACAGTATATTATAGGATTTACATTTATTTAAAGGTACTTTGCACGAATTGTAAATTAGCTAAATTTATTCTGCATTTTCCAGTGTAATTTAAGTTTTCGTGTAAACGTCAAACGGTGTGTTATTATTTAATTGTTATGTTTATTTTTATTAATACTTTACTGTATTTTATTAGAAAAAAAATACACTAGTTACTTTTTTCTCATTGGTTATAGTACCTATATAGTATACAATGTATTATGTATATAATGGTATATATGGTACGGTTCATCCTAAAATATTTACGTTAAATAATTTAAATGGTAAAAAAATAATTGTCTTATAAACTGTATATAGATATAATTTGTCAACCATTTTGAGTGATTTTGATTTAAAATACCCAATGCTTATTGTTTTAACACACTTACATTTTAAAAGTTCTATTCTTTAGAGACAATATAAATACGTCATGGTAAACTAATCATAACTAAACCTCTAAAAGTAGTTTGTAGATTCGATGTTTTATCAATGCATTAAAATGTTAATAATAATAATACACCTGCTCTGGATTGGAGTTTATTGATGCCAGAAAATGTCTAAACGAGTGAACAGCATCTGATGTCTGTTCCACTTATTAAAATTACGATTGTATATATATATTAGGTATACGAGAAATCAATAATATCATTCAACGAATTAAAAAATATAAATACATTATTTTTAAGTGGATGTATAGTTTAAACATATGGAAATTAAAATATAGTATCTGCCTTTTTTATATTAATATTCAAATCAATGCGTATGTTGTATAGTTATATTCTATTTGATTATATAAAAGGTATTACTTTATTACTAATCCCGTTTCAATATTGAGCCATAATAATATGCTGTTATTTTTTAAGGTTTTAATTTGGTTTGACTGTATTAATTTGATTGAATATTTTATATGAATTATTCATGTACTCGTATAATGTACATTGAACAAATCTGTGAAATGTTGAAAAATGGTAATTTATTGAATTTTAATAATTGTTAATATTATAATTATACTCTAAAATACACACCATTTCAAATGTCAATGTCAGTCTTAGATTTTAAAGATCACTCGATCACAAACATTTTGAAAGCAAAAATTGACTGCAGCTATATACGTTCCGAACTAGGATTGAACGAAGTATATATTAGACGTCCATACATATAGGTATATATAAAATATAATGGTACCTATATACTATATCTGTATAGAGTTTATCGAATTGAGGCATACAACCGTTTTTGCTCAAATATAGGGGATCTTTAGACAAAATGAAAAACAAAAACCTCTTTCTTTAACTTGATGTCATATTTTATATTATATAGCTGTGTACCTTTATAGACTTATGGTAGGTATACGTACACCTATACGGCTATACATATACATATAATACAATATTATTATGTGAAGCCCGTAGCGCTGACGGCGTTCCTATATATACGTACATTCAAAGCTGTCTCTGTTGTGGGGGGGGGAGGGGGGGCACCAGTTCGATTGGCCTAGAAAAATGCACCCTCCCCCCGACCAACGAACAACCGCACACACTCCGACACCCGACATAACCGATGCGCCCGCGGTGCAGCGGTCCCTGCGCGTTTTTGCGATCGAAGCGAGGCGCTCGTCCCGGCGAGCCGTTTAATACGCCGCCTACAACACCGGTAGGCCGCCGGCCGGGGGAAATACAGCGCCGCGATCGTTGGTCCCACTGCGTGACCGTCCGGTGGATCCTGCGTGATCCGGCTTTCCTTTGCGCCGAGACCGCAACACTACCGCAGTCCCTGAGACACGGCGGACACGACGAATCTAGCTGAGGCATTTCCGGCACGGCAACCGAAGTGTACCCACTGGCTATACTGTATCTACACGTCTTGCAGAAAGGTACGTGTTACTTATCAATTATTAATATTCGGAATTCATATTTTTAGACAGTGACTTTAAATTATATTGTTAAGGTATTCCAACGATAAAATTACCATATTTCGGGTCTCATGACTTGTCGAGCCGTGTATTCTCCGAGTCTTCGCTTATTGATCTTATCAAGAACGTTCTTTTTCTGTCCTGCTCACACTTCTGAGTGATTGATTGGTACTTATTGAACATATAGCCATACCCTACGATGCGTCTTGATGTCGTTTCAATCTTCTGAGTTGGTTTCGTTCAATTCTTTTCCAAATTATACGTTTGTAGATGCCAATTTCCTTAAGCCTTACGAGTACAATATAGGTTTATATTTACGACGTTATTGTTAATCTTATACTACACGATTTCATTTCTTGAATGTAATTTATTTTTAAAAGTTAATAATTTTGATTTTTGAAGTATCTAGCGTGACTACATTATGCATGCGATTACCTACTACTGTTATTTTAATGTGAAATGTCGACTATGTTATGAAAGTTAGAACATTTAATTTATAGCATTAAATTTAGCTACTACTGATTTGTATATTAGGCAATTATATATTTACCTTTTTTACCGTACCTCCCGTAATTAATTTGCTTAATCTATTTTGACAAACTGTCAAATAAAAAAAGGTTAATTCAAGTTTCAAATTCAATATTTTTATTAAAATATTCAATAATAAAATTTCAAATTCTTCATAGTAAAACATTAAAATAAAATACTTGCTGTATACATTACACATACATTACGTATAAATAATATTATTATTTTATCCTAAATAGAACACAAAGCAAATAACAAATTATTCTAATAACAAAATGTAACCATGTGAAATATTAATAATTTTTTTGTCAGTTAAAAGCTAATTTATTCATATCTAAATATATTTGTTTTATTCACTTCATATACAATAATATTATGATAATATTTTAATAATTATAATTTATATGAGTTATTACTCACTAATTTTATATTTAATAATTAAAAATCCTTCTTAATGGTTTTATAATGTCTAGTAATACATTTTAGTCTGCACAGGTAATTTAACAAATTTAAGTTGAAAGTTTACAAAGGAAAGTTTTTTCTTATTCTTATATGACGTCTGTGTATTAATTATATGCATACCTAAATGTTATTTAAAATATTATTCTTAATTTATGACTAAAAATGTTATATTTGCTTAATTTGAAGGTATATAATTATAAAACATAATATTATGACGATTGAAATAATTTAGTTCTGATATTTATTTCTATAGCGGTTAAGAATTTTTATATTTTTTGTTACGCACTTAGGTATTCTAAAAAAAAATCATCAATATTACATAATAATTACTAAACTTTACGTTATTTGTGTTAAAAATAGTTCAGGAACATAAAAATTAAAATTTAGTGTTCACTATTAATCAAATGGTTCATGGTCGGTTAAAGCATTTAGTTGCGTGATACTCATAAGTTGATACTGTATAGTAGGTACATATAAATATTAAATATATAATATGTCATTTGATATATAAGTCTCAGAAACTATTAGTGTTTTTAGAATTTATTACTTATTGGCTGATTACCAATCAATTTTAATCATATTATCATAGTCTACTTTATTTAAATATATAATATTTTATAACAGCGTTAAATATACTTGCACTATGCACATTGAGCACAATACCTATGTTTTTTTTTATATAGCTAGATGTTAATTAAAAAGACTTCCTAGAGAATATAAAAATACTGTTATTTATTTATAGGTACAGTTTTCATTTTTACTTATAAAATTTAATACAAGGATAATTTTTTTTTAAAAAAATACGTTATATAATATTTTTTATTTTATTGTAAGAAATACATTGATACCGTTTAATTTAAATTATAGGGAATAATATTGTAAATCGATAAAAATTCTAAGTGAAGTGATTAATGTGTAGGTAACAATATGATGTTATTTATATGTTTCTGTATTTACACTTTTTCTATTATGTGATCAACATAATTTGAATTTGTTGAGTTTCCCTTGTTCTCTAACTTTGAAGAGGTTATTTTTTGGTTAGTTCAATAGTTTCTCTTTGCATAATGGAAGACTAATAAAAGTCACACAGTTGACTTAAAAAAAAAAATTCCGCTTGGTTTAATAAATTTCAGTTTTAAATTCAAATTTGTATGCTGTGAATATCTTTTATTGACATATATCATACATTTATAACCCTATGCCTAGATTAACAGAGAAATACGAATGAGCAATACTAGAAGTTGTGGGACCATAATATATTATTATCATTGTCAATTTTATATAAACTATAGACTACATATATTATATAGTTATTATTTTCTTTAAACATAATTGTTTACTAACATATTAGTATTATACATATTACATAACCCATATTATACAGGTAGGTACTGTGACATGTTAATTCATGTCAAAATGTCAGCTTATAATTAAAGTAAATAAAAAAAAAAATTATTTTTTTGTTTGAAGAAACAAATTATGCAGTATAAATCTCAACACCTTTTATAAATTAATTGAAGTGATAAAATTAGAAAAATACTCAATGAGAAAAATTGTGTGCCCTTATTATAAAGAAATGGACTCTACGCCTAGCTGTTAAGATTATTGTATATTTATAAGTTAAATATAATATACATTTAGCAAAGATTTTTAAAGGTTTTTCTGAAAGTTAGAAATGTTTGAATAACAATATTGCTTATTATTTTCTTAAATTAATAACTTAATTTTACTATCGGACATTTTTTTGTTAAAACCAAATAAAATATATTGAGTAGGTAGGCTATGAATACTGGAGCTAATTCTAGAGCAAATTTCGCAGTATGGGATACCTATTATGTTCTAAATAGATTATTTGACTGTCTTTTAGGTAAATCCTACTTTTCTTTTATTTGGCTATAATTTTGTATTAGTTATAAAGGTCCAAAGCCTCTACTCTCATTATAAATTAAATACCTTGAGGTGTAATATAATTAATGCAAATTACGTATATGAAAACATTATGTTTTTCATCAACTTAAAGAAGTGAATTATTTACATAAACACAATTTAAAATTTAAAAAAGTAGGATTTAAGTAACTTAACTGTTGTAGATTATATTGATAATAGATAACTAGCAGCTTTTCATTTTCAAATTCATTTCAATAATATTTAATATTATCTTTTTCGGTAGCCTCAAAGTTCGAACGTTTAATGAATTTAAAATATTCAATGTACTTTATCATTGTTGAAATTGTCCCAATTGTTTTATATACCTATGTCCTATAATCTATACATTAATACGAATATTCGTTTAGCTTCTGTCATATTTTTTTGTTCGCTATTTCCTGTATACATTCAGGCGTCTGAAATTAAACATAAAATGATACTATTTTGTTGTAATAACGATGTGTTCATATAAATATAAAAAAAGTGCAAAAGTATATAAATTTGTGCTTTACGTGTTCAATTGTAAGTTGAGAAAATACATTTTTTTATTGAAGCGAATTGTGTTAAATAATTTTGAGTAAAATCTTATCACCAAAAGTCGTTCAACGAAAATTGATAAAACATTGTATATTATAGCCCAAAGTAAAGCTAGCATATTTTTATCGAAAAATGCATTCATTCACATATAATACTGTGAATTGAAATAAATTTATCAATCTTTCTCAATATTTACCTATTAAATTGTTGGCAGAGTTAATGGCATACTATCGACATGTGAGATATATATTATTTGATTTTAGTCTTATATATTTTAGGTATGTTTAGTTTTTATTATTAGTGTAATTATCTAACCATGGTTTTTAAACAGATATAAAAGAATAATTTGTGTTGTAACTAATGTATGAGTTAGACATACATTGAATTATTTTATTTAAATATAGATACATGTTTAAGAGGACGTTATACCCGCTGCGTTGTCTTCGTCTTGCAAACAAATAACATAACAAATTGCACATTCTGAATTATTCATTTAATTTATGTTATGTTTAATTTTAAATTGAACTGACCAATTACCAAATTTAGAAGTAAGAATATTATCTAGTGAATAATATGGATTTTTTATATTGTTATTTGAATATGAGCTTTGATTATTTTAAAACTGTAAATTGTGCAAAACACAACAGAGTTAAATTTACTATTCAAAACTTACAATTTGCCATATTATGCATTTGTAAGACGGAGAGTAGGTATGGCGTCTTCTTAATGTTAAAACTTAAAACTAATTTTTTTTTATTTAATTAATTTATAATTTAATAATAAGCTCTACGCGAACCTAATAAATTATAATAGCTAACCAAAAATAAATTATTCATATATCTATACTTAACTTTATACCTGTATAGATATTAGATGGTGTCCCGCGAGGATTTACCATAAATTTAAGTTATGTAATAATGTAAATGATAATACTTTGCTATTTTAAAATTAGTAATCACTAATCTTCACAAGACATTTTGTATTTATAATTTACTGACTTTACTATTAATGACGCAGGTTTTAGGCATTTTAGAAATAATTAATTATTTATTATATTTTAAATTTATATTTAAGTATTATATATTTTATCACTAATACATAATATGAAATTAGTAATTAGGTACACTGAAGTCAATATTAAATAATTAACAATAATAATAATTTATAATCTAAGAGTTTAATTTACTATTTCAAATAAATATTACCTTAATGAAATGTATACATTATATATAGGTATTACTGTCAATAATATAATTTTATTATTATTAAAAACATATTTTAAACGACCTAGTTGTATTTTCATGAATTTCCTCAAATAGTAGATAGTATATGTAAATAGTTGCTAAGGTAAGATATTTTATTACCTACTTTAAACTTCATTCCGTGCTTGATATATCAACATGCCTCCGAAATACTTACATCATTTTATTTTTTTTATCTGTAAATTGTCTCATTCAATTTTAGTATCGTTTTATCAATATCCATGTTCCAATTTTTGTAGAAGTTATTGCGTAGTATGTATAAAATATTTTAGAATTTCGCCTACCCTTAAATTAATCGTATAGTGTGATACAAATAAAAGAAACATTAGGTAACACTTAAAATAAAATATTAATATTATACTTTTGTACTTCTTCTAAAATTATTATTACGATAGTCACTAGTAACTTAAGAAATTTGGCTATATCAGGTTAATTGGTTCTGATAAACTATAATAGTGATGATTGATAAATATATTATTTCTTAAATAATTTAATCACTGGTATAGATATTATTATTCAGCGCTTTAACCATTAAACCAGCATATTGCATAAAATCTAATTTATATCTTCAATATTGTAATTTATAATCATTACTGTTGTTTCTCACGTCAAATGTGGTAGCACATAATATTATGTGAATAATAATTAATATGCATATATACCGATATCCAATTTTAGATAAATTATTATTTATGCACTCCTATGGAAATTATAGGATAGCAAGGTATACCTAGGTGTATTTTTTGAAACAAGAATGATAAAATGAAAGAAAATAGCTCAATATAGATTAAAGTATTTTTGAAGATATAAATTAAATTTCCAGCAGTGAATATGTAAGATTGCTTCAAACGTTCGGACCACTCCTTTTCCTAAACAAAAAAATTATAAAAGTGGATAAAACTAACAAAAAACTTAAAAATTAAAAATTCTGAAGATAACATGCTTTAAGATACGATATAGTTTAAAAAGAATAAATCTTTTTTTGATGATTTTAATTTATTATAAAGAAGCCTTAGACGCAGCATTAACGATTTCGACTTAGAAAAACAAATACAAATTATACGCCTAATTGTTTATTGTTTATTGTTAATATAAGCCTTTTATAATTTTTGCTTTTAAATTACTTAAAGTACCAATTTATGTAAAGAAAATGTATTCATTGCACTGCTATAGACAAAATATTATTACAAATATAATTGTTTTAATAACCTATTTTATGTTTGAACAATAAAGTACCTTGCTGTCGAGTTATACTTCGAGATCAATAAAATAAAAAAAATAAAAAAAAAACTTTTATGATATTTAATAGGTACATTAGGTAGGTAATGTATTAATATTTTATGTTATAGACTATATAGGTATTTTATAAATTTGTTTTGATAATCTTAATTTTTACACGGATAAAATATAAATTAAACATTGAACTAGTTACTTTATTTAATGAATATTTAATTATTTTATTGTATCTACATATTAAATGTTAGAAAGTATAGTAAAATGTATTTATATGTGCATTTATTAGTACAAGTTCTATATTAAATTTGATTCAAATTTTAATTTAATTTGTTTGGTACGGATCAAATATTTATAATTTTCAGTTAGTTTATCGAACTGAACCAAACATCCTCAGTCTAGTTTGATTCATAAAATAATTAAAATAAAATCACTAACCATAGTAATTAATACAATTATTAATCTCGAAGAATTCAATTTATTTTTTAAAAATTAGTTTTATCCTGCCATTGAACGTTGTCCGTTGAATGGGTTAAGACTTTAAGAAAATAAGTCAAATATCAATTTTTTTCAGAAAACGAAAATATTCTCATTTCTGCATTTGCTGTAGTTATAGATTGTATTTATACTTCATAACTAATTTAAGAAAATAAATAAAAGTTATTTATATATTTGTAATAAGAACTACATAATATGAGTATCACATTGTTTACTACAAAATAGAGTAAGAATCGTAAAAATTAAATTTTACACTTGCTCTATGTCTTAACATTCTTAACTGCAAAAAAGTCAACTGTATTAACATTAATAAAATAATAAATGTTTATTAGGTGGAAGAAGATATCTATGTTTTTAAATTAGGTGTTTCATTATTTTAGTGTAGTTGACGTTGCTACATAAATTAATTTCTATGATATCATATTATATTTTTGAATGTTTAATTTAATTTATTATACGCCTAGCCAATAGCCATATACATAATAAGAACTAATTAGAGAGATTAAATTGCAATTTCTTAACACAATTTATGAAAATAAGAATTATTACTATTAAATATTAATACACATTATAAACATTGGTTAAGAAGTGTACTTTTGAAACTAAAATATTTATGTATGGCCTTTTTAGTTATTGAGCGTTGTAGTTACCAATTTATGAACACATTAATATTCCATTGATCACAATTTTATTAATGTGACTTTTTTATCTGTTGCAGGCATAATTTAGCATATCTAATGAAACTTTGAACACGTAGTAATTAAAAATGGGCAACCCATCAGATCACGTCGAAACTCCGCTCACCGGCGGGTATCTACTGATTGTATTAGCCGAACCCAGGAGTGCTGAACACAAATTAGCCATACTGAAAAAACTCACAAAAGGTAAAACGAATAATAAATAATAAAAATGTATATATAAATAAATATACTTCAGACAGGTTAAGTAACATGGGTTTATTTTGAGAGATAAAATCGTATTGGGGTGGCGTACGTCTGGGCATCATTTCTATTTTAAAAAGTTCTGTCTCCAATACTCTCAAATGTCATCAGTTAAAATAAAAATTAACTGGATTACGTACGCTTTGAAGGCAGAAAATCGATGAAATAAAACTAAAACTAAAAATGATGCTAAAAACGTATATATAAACCTATACAGTGCTTATAGAGGTACATTATTTACTGTTTAAAATAAATATAATAATAATATAAGATGAGTAATATTAATTGACTCAAATCTTTATAAATTATCTACGTTTATTCCAAATATTAGTGACACACAGCATTTTACTTCAATATTATAGTTTGTTGTGCTTTGACGAGGGATTTTATTATTACTCGGTCTGATGTAAAAATATGACTACTCAGGTCTTGTAGGTATTCTAATAGAATTGTAACATGTGTTTCAATGTTGCCGCAATCTGTTTAAATATAAACTGAATCCGCCCAAGACCCTTCATTTGGTAGTAATTTTAAACGAGAACGTGTACACGAGAGGACAAAATGTGCATGTCAAATTAAGACATTGTGTGTTAAAATAAAATCTTAAAATTAAAATATGACGATACATTGTCTCACAGTTTTGTCATAAAATTAACATTATAAATCTATATAATACGCTTGTTGTTCATTAAATAATATGATAAAAAATTAGGTTTTCAATTAATATTATTGGATTTATGTTTTTTTTATACACCTTTATAGAATTAGACGAATTTTTAGTGACATTCAAATAGTCCGTTTGGACCTAATAAGTCGAAACTATCTAACATTTTTATAATAACAATACGCGTTAATGAGTATTTTAAAGTTGACAATATTATGGTTTAGGTAGTTATTAACCAAATACATTTTAAGATTATTATTTAATATTTACTTATTTTATTAGATTTAAAGTAAAAGTTTCATGTATCAGTATGTCTTTAGCACAGTACTGAAATAAAAATTGTATCTACTATAATATTATTATAACATTTTATTATAACTTGTTTTAACTATTTATACTTAATAAAATATGAGTACATCATCTGCCTCGACGAAAAAGGTTGTATCTCAAGTTTACAGCTTTTTTTATACACATATAATGTTGTTACAAATATTCTATTCATAATGCAAACAAATACTATAGTAGGATACCCTAATAAAAGAGTTTCTTTTTATATTAAACTATATATAGAAGCAACAAAAAATAACAAAAATAATCAATAGTATTACTATTTAATATAGGTTCAAATTAATATGACATTAGCCGTTAGATATATAACAAAACGCGTTTATTCCCTACCAACACCTTGGAAACGTTGAATGTTGACGTCATGAAGATATATTCAAATCACTGCAAATTATTATTTTATATTCTATTAACTGTCAAGAAATTAATTCTCACCTTATGTTTATATTCGGTTAATATTATTTTTAATAAGTTGTATCATTATAGCAAACTACAAAATTTAAAAAATAAACATTTAAAACTTACCAATACGTGAAAAAGTAATGTAATTAATATATTATTACTTATTATAATAGTAAAGTTAAACGATTGATTACTAAAACTATAAGTAAAGAGAAGCTTAGAGATATTGATAGCTTAACATTTTTCATATTTATTATTGTAAAATGATTGAACCGTTATTTAGCAGTAGGTATTTTGTATTCACTATTTTTATGATATGAATCAAAAAAGTTTGAAGTTTAACTGTGGTGGAAGGTGTGAAACAAACAATAGTTTTTTTTGTTTAACGTTTTTTAGTTTTGAAGTTCATATACAAATCGGTTATACTCGTAACATATTTATTCGTTACAATCAGTGCAAATTGTTAAAATATGAACACATAAATCCTTTTCATAGGTACATACAATTTTAAAATCGTTCTATAAATATTTTAGAACCCAAGCTCAAATGCGTTTTAAAATTTAATAATTTATCACGACTTTCAAAGTTTCAAGTATAAGTAAAGTTGCACACCCAATTTCTGTACCGTATGTTTATTATTTATTGTTTTAAATTTTCTTTTATAAGGCTTTGGTTGTTAGAAATGCAGCTTTCATTTTAAATTACCCTGGCTTCTAAAATAATTCTAATTTTAAAATGAATTTGGTTTTTCAATGTTCAGATTTCATTGTAAAATAAATGTGTTTTTGTTTATAGATTATTTTTCAGATAGGTAGGCATCCATATAATATCCTAAATATTTTATTTTATTAAGATTAAAATATATGTTAGGATAATAAGTTTAGTGTTACCACATTAAATTAATGCTCCTATCTTTGATAATCGTATACACACATTTTTGTTATTATTAACTTAGGTGTGGGTGATTTGAATATATTATACTATATTATGTACCTACTATAATTTTAAATTCGTAATATTTTTAGGCTATTAAGGACTAAGGAGTGTCCTGAAGCAAAGCAAAATACTTTTTTCAAATAAAAAAATTAATAACCTTTTAACACTATGAATACATCTAAATTATTGATCTTTATGTATTATGGATAATAGACCAACCCGGGGGGTAGGTTAAGCCCCCTCCAGATGTCCACCTATGAGCATTCATATAGATTTAATATCTGCCCGTTTTTACTCATCTATAGTATTTATACTTATATAATACAATAATATAATAAAGTAAGTACCTAAAAATAAGTTTTTTTGTTAAAGATTCAAGATTGTATTTATCTACCAATAGTCTAACAAAAGTAAATCATTTTTCGATATTGTTTTGATCAAGAATTTCACCAGATAAAAAAAATACGATTTCTTCAATATTCGTTAATCGTTAATGACATGAAACATTAAAATGTCATTATTTTAAATCTAGTTTGAATGTGGTGCCATGATTAATGCAGAGATTAGTGAGATCTTTCACTTAAGGTTTTTTTTTTAATGTACAAATATATTTTTATAAATAATTATTTTAAGTATCAGTATACAATATGTAATTAATTTATTATGGTGTATTTTATCCATTTAATTTCTTTTTATAAATAACCGAATTAATTTTTATGAATTGTGCATTACTTAATTTGGGGTAATCAGTTTAGATACTTATAAAATCTGTAATAACGATTAGTCCAAAAGTTAAAATGTATGATGGTCAATAGTGTAAATTTTATTGTATCGTGAATTATAAAACATAAAGATTAATGTACTAAAAATAAATTTGTTTTAGCGTATTATTCATAATTTATAGATAGAGTTTAAAACAAAAAATTGCTGAGTTTTGTTTAATATTAATTATAAATTATTCATTGAAGTGTAAAGTAAAAAAAAAAATGATACTTTCACTAAAATACACAGTGACAGTAGTAAAAGTTTAAAACAAAACTCTAAAATAATTTCAATTGTTTCAAACTTAATTGTTTTTTCTTGGTTGCGACTTGCGAGTATCAAAGGACAATGATATATACAAATTCCAGATATAATATTTTCTAATCTGTCTTAAAAATAATACATTTTAGATGCGTTCACTTAAAAGTTACGACTTGAGTAAAGATTTTCTAACTTAAGAGGATTTCAGTACCTACACTTTTTGTTTTCACTTTCTGATCCTGCAAGTGCAATATAGAAAATTCGCGTTAAGCAGTACTAACCTTATGTGGTTAGGTTTAGCATTAGAGTAGATTGACCTATGTCATTCTTAAAGAGAAGAACATTATCTGTGTTCTTAAGATGGTTAGTAGCGAGATATGATCATTTTAAAATTGTTATATTTTACATATTTATAACTCGCATAAAGATTTAAATATCGTAAAAAAGAAACTGAGAAAGTGAGAACACATATTATGTTTTAAACATGAAATTTGATGCTAGATCAATTCACTCTAATACTTAAGCTAACAACACGTCAAGGTTGGTTCTGAGGATCGTAAATTATTGTTCATGTTCCGCGTGGGTCAATGAATGAAAACAAATAGTGCGCTGACCCGTCTTGGACGAAAATCTATATCAGTTATAAATGTGATAGTGTAGAATAAATATATACCATCGAACCATCTTCTAGTCTAATATAATTTATGTTAGTGGATTTGTATTACAATTTACAATCCTGTCAAGTTGAGATGAGAGAGTGCTTATATAATAATTTCCATCGAGTCATATTTGTATTTATCTCAAAGCCTACATGGTTTAAGTACTTTAAGCTTCGAAAAATATATATTTCTATTTTTAATTGCCAGCTGTGGTGAAATAAATTCGTAAGAAAAAAAATAAAAATAACTTACATTTTTGTATTAAACAGTGTATATGGATACTTAAGATTACCCCAAGTCTACTATAAATAATAAAAAAAGCCACTGTAGTTCATATAAGGGCACCACCTTGTTTTGAAAATATTATCACGTAAATAATGATGTTGTAAAATAAACATAAGTTGTATGATTAGATACGTTTCTGTAATGTACTAATATCCTAAATACCTATAATTACCATATTATGGTCACATAAATGCATAATGACTACTTATAGAACCTTGCGTGTAGTTGAACTATATATAGGAAGTATATTGTATATAGTACCACGATTTGTATAACAGTTTCGTGATAAAAGCCAATCATTTTGTAAACACTTTTTCTATAAATATTATATATTATCGGGACCGTCTATCTATAACAAGGTGAAAATCTTCCAATTCTGAGAATTAATAAATTCAACAATTTTGTGAGAAAATTTTTTCTGGCAACTTTTTACTAGTGGAGATAGAGTAGGTCAGGTATTGATTGGGCTGCGGGACTCAGCAGTGACGTTGCCGAAGAGCAGGGCGTGGCTTATCTGACTACACCCTCTCACCACCCCCTCCCCCTCAGACACACACACAAACACATACACACTATAGGTTTAACGGTATCAGCTGGTGTCCATGAGCATTACGCAATATCCGTACAAATGTCAGGTCAAGTGATCGACGAGTACCTAAAAAGATAGAGCAAAGATGGAAAATAAAAATCAAGCCCTTTAAGTTTTTTTCATTTTGCTGAAGAGCTATGTCCCCCTAAGTGAATATTTTATACTCACTTTCTGTGTGACATTCCATAACTTGAACTTCGCAGGCACTATAATGACAAACAAAAGTACATCATCACAGAAACTGAGCTCGTTAAACTTGCAGAATGCAGAATACTCGAACCATAAAATCACAACACATCACTAAAAAAAAAAATATATAATGATGAACATTTTAATCATATTTTTAAATGTTATAAGTATTTAATGTGCATTAAATGTATGCTTTGAGAATATAAAATAATTGGCTAGTATATATCCGCTAGTGGTGTACTGGTGTTAGTCTTAAATTCCCTTAACACTTGTCCTGTTTCGTTAATAATACCTACAATTTATCAACATAATTAATAGTTATACACACACACTTATACTTTAAACCCGGTAGATAGTTCATCGTTTCTCGTAATAGGACGGTTATGTAAAACAATGGATCTTACATAAATTATCGTAAATAATTATTCATATATAAATATAATACTATAGTATTATAATACTTATTTTGTGACACCCACGATTAACCATTTAAGTCTAAGACCATCGTTTATACATTTATAACTTTAATACCAAAATTAATTGTATTTATTAATTAATATCTTTATTACAAATATTTTTTGAATCAAACCTTCAAAAAAGTGTATTCTGGAGGAAAGTAAATAGTAGTCGATGTACTATTGTCAAAGATTATATTATAAAACGTGAACATTTTTAAATATTTTATTTTTACGTAATATTGAAATGGTGACAACATTTATTTTATTTTTTTTTTTCAAATATAAATTAAAAGCTACAACCTATGTAAAATAAGAAAACGTATTATAAATTATTATTTATGATAAATTGTTATTTTAAAAGTAGTTACTTACATTAATATTAAGCCCATCGTTACTTAAAATAATTAATTTTAATAAAAAAAAGAAATTTAAGTTTTAATTACTCATTGTTGCCAAATCATAAAATATTACCATCATGATTTATGATTAAAAACAAAAGTGACATAAATAAAAATTGAATGGGCCCACTAAAGTCATTTACTGTATTCTTGATGTTATTTTATTTACTATTTTCTTCAAAATAAGTAAACGAAGCAATCATTATTTTTTATCAATAATAAAGTGAAATATTAATAATTATCTACATTATACTTTAGGGTATTAAGTTATCTAATATTAAATACTATTATTATTGAAACAATAAAATAATGGGATCATCGTTGATTTATGATAATGTTCAAATACTGGAAAAAGAAAATAATTTTAACAAATTTATTCTTTTTGTAAAATATAATTTAGCTTTTATTTTCTTTAAAAATTCTATAATATAAAATATGAATACTTTTAGAGCTATTAAAAACGATTTAGCTAGAATATTATATAAAAAGTATACCTGCGGGTACAATATATTTTTTTGAAATTTAAAAACGTATTTTGTTATACCAACACATTTAGTATTTTTAAAACGTACTTATGGTTGTCAGTTATGATATTGCTAGGCAAATATTATTTATTTATAAATTTTAATTATCATTAAAAAAAACATTATATATTAGAGAAATTAGACTCTGAGATTTTAATTAAAGTTATTTAATACATACCTACTATAAAAATGTGGTTTGGTTTGAAATATTTAATACATTAATTTTGTTGAAATATTGATTGTTTTCTCATCCGACTCAACTATATAAGCTAGTTAAAACAACAGCAAATCGATGTAATCCAATGTAGGTATTGCGCTTATACAAGTTGATGCCGCTTATTATTTTAATTATAAAAAGCATCGGTTACTAGGTAAAGAAGCTATAGAAACTATTTTTGGACAAAAGTGATTGATGGACATCCAACAATGGTTTCTTGCTCCAAATATAAAATTTGATCGATATTCCAAACATGACAGGCTTACATGAAAATAAAACTTTTACAAATCAATAGGTATATTATGCAGTAAATATTAAAAAAAATTTTTCTTAAAAACCTGACAGTCAATTTTTCATATAATAATAATCTAATAAAAATTTTTAATGATAAATAATAATAAAAATAAATAGCTAAACAAATGTATGGGTATAATTGTGCTCATAAATTTTTTTTTTAAGGCTTCAAATACATAATTTATTAGCCTGCAATGGCTTACAAAATTAGGTAACAATTTTTTTTTTATAATTTCCTTGATATTGTGCTTGTATGAAGTATTGTTAATCCATTGTTTTAAATGTTCGATATAAGATCGGCTATCTTGATGAAGACTATAATATTCTTTTTTCTTCTCCGTAATTGAATACTTCTTTGAGTGGGATTGTGTACTCATACAATTATGTGGCAAGAAACGTTAACATTATAGACTACATAGTTTTATAAAAAAATCACCAAAATTAGATTTTGCAATGCTGGTGTTTAAGGTCTTTCAACCCACAACTGAACTGTTTTCTTATTTTCAACAATGTTGAACTATATTCCGTTATAAACTATAATATTGTAAACATTGAAATATAACGAATTGGTTAAAACAATATAAAACAAAATATGATACTTGAGTACATGATATTTGAATCCAAAATATTAAACAGGAACAGACTTCATTAATCTATAAATTTTGTAATATATTTTTTTGTGTTAATAATATTATCAAAAGATCTATTCTTATCCCTGTGGAAATCAAAATTATAATAATAATGGTAGGAATATCAAATGAAAATGCTCTGCACACCAACTAAAACACGTTTCACTTATAATCTATTATTTATTGGAAATTACATGGTAAATATTGTTGTAATATTCTGTAAAATAATCACGTATTGGTTAATATTTAAGGGCTTTCGTGTTGGAATTATGAAGAGAGTGGCGTCGACATAGTTACTGAATTCAATGCTATTGTTAATCAAAATATTGAAGGCGAAGAAGGCAAAAATGGTATATTTATGGCTTAGTTTAGTTTTTATAAAATAGTAAAGGAGTATTTACTAATAAAACAATTTTAAATAATGAATTTTTAAAATACATTTTAGGTGAACAACTTTTTCAATATGCTAGTGATAATTTAGTGGCGGAAATTCTTATTAACCCTCAACACAGTACATTAGTGCAATGTGTAAGAAACTTATTAGCTAGTTTTACTAAGTATAGATGTATCATACATGCGGGATATTCGTTCACAGAAAATGGATCGTGGATCCTTCAGGTTAGTTAATTTTATTTAATTAAGTACCAGTTGATATTATTACATTTTGTAATCAATTTTTATTATAATTTATAATTAATATTGGATATCATTAAATTTTTTTCACTTCTATTTCAACACCATTATTATGTGTATATATAATATACATATATATTGTGTTCAAAATAATAACTTACATATATTTATTTTATATTATATCGATAGAATATTAAATCATTTATGATCAACAACTAGTTTAAATTGAATCATCAATTAAAATATAATTGTATTAATAATTGTTTCTATAATTATAGGACGGTTCGTTTTCTGTCACTGACTTCTTAGATGCATATAAAACAGCTGAAGCTCAGCGCACGATTAGACTCCATGAAAATCAGATTCGCATTGAACTTCATTGTTCTGCAGATGCTGATTGGAATCAAGTTGGCCGAGTTAAGGGCACACGTTTTCTGTTGAACCCACCTGAAAAAATAGTTGAAAATGGATCAATAGAATCAATCGTAAGATGGCTTTGTGATAAAATTGAAGTTGCTGAACTTGATATACTACTTGAAGGGTCGCAAGTTGTTGGAAATATCAGATTTAGTAGACCTACCCTATATGTGTTTCCTGCTGGTCAAGGCGATTCCGCTTTATTTGGTATTAATGGATTCAATATGTTAATTGACGGAGGAGCTGGAAGAAATTCTTGTTTTTGGGGTTTCGCAAGACATTTGGACCGATTAGATGCAGTTCTATTAACAAGACTCAACAGTAGTAATTTGGAGGGAGTTGCATCATTTCTAAAACGAAAAACCATGTCTTCATTGTATCCACAAATAGGACATTTTTTCTGTAACTTCAAGGTAAGAAATTTTACATAATAAATCATTTTAAATTCACATAAGAAGTATTTCCATTTTCTTAAGTGAAGTATATAAAAATAATGAAAAATGTATTCGAATTGAATATTTTTTAAATGTTTTGTTTCATTTCAACTAACCCAAGCTACGTCAGAACTGCCCAACACTATTTTATACAATAACTTGTTTAAACTCAATGTATCATGCATACGATAATTACTTTAAATTAAATATAAACAATGTTTAATAATATTAACGGTTTCGATATAAAAGTTAAAAAATTCAATATTTAGTACTTAGTACGACCTTATGGGGTTTTTATAGCTATATAAACATTTTTATTTATATCACCAACATATGTTTCAATCCAATTTAATTACTTAGAATATAAAAATATTAAATAATGTTTTCTTTTGTATCATATTAAGTATTATAAAAATAGGTATTAATAATATTCACGGTTGTTTTAATATTTATAATATATATTTATTTTCAGACAAGAAAACAAATATCATCCCCTGACATAGATGCTAAACAAGATATTCTTTCAATTAGCTTAATTGATACAGCACAAAGCATAATAACTGATCTTAAGCAATTACAACTTCGTCCTCATTTATGTTATCGAAATATAAATTTAGAGCCAATAAATCTATATCATAAAGTTGGTCATGGAAAATTAGATATGTATGTATTAAATCCTTCCAAAGATAGTAAAGAGGTAAAAGACTTTTTGGCAAAATGGAATGAAGGCGATCAAAAATTATTTAATTCTACAAAAGATTTACAGTTTCCGCTGCCGAACATTATATCCGTTTGTACACTACTAGTATGGCAACCAGCAAATCCAAACACTACAATCACTAGAATTTTGTTTCCAGGAAGTTGTCCTCAAAATAAGATATTTGAATCTTTAGAAAGAGTCAGACACCTAGAATTTTTAAAACATCCTTCATGTTCTATTAAATCAATGAGTTCATCTACATCGGTAACAGTCAAATCTCAGACGACTAAGAAGACTGTTCTTGAAAAAATGATTCCAGGTGAAACTAAAACCGTTAAGACTATGGAAAATTTAGAAGTATCAACATCGGCCTCAAATGCTGTTATACAAACAGCTATAATACCAACAGTGCCCAAAGAAGGAATTCCAAAGCCAAAGTTTCCCGTTGAAACAGATAAACCAAAACCAAGCATAAAATCAGTTACAAAAGAAACATCAAACGCAAAACCAAAAATTGAACATAAATATAGTTCAATTAGCGCAAAAGTAAATTCCAACAAGGTTGTCCAAAAAAGTTCAACTACCAAAAAATCGTTAAAATTATCATCTAAATCTCCTCCTACTGATAAATCATCACCCACTACTCCAATTGAAAATCAAGAAAAAGCGCCTAAACCATTTAAACAAGTTATTAAGCCGAAATCAACAACTACAACTTCAAAATCTCCTTCAAGCACTCCTACTAAAAGTAAGAAAGAGGAAGCCAATCGTAAAGTTTTAGTTTCTTCGAGAACAAATTCAGGCCTAAAGCGAACTCCAATAACTAAAAAAGAAATAAAACCAGCTCAACCAAAAATCACGGAAACTTCTTTAAAAAAAGACCCAAACATAGTTTATAAATCAAGTTTGATCAGTTGTGACAAAGACAAAAGTGGTGAAGAAGAAGATATTTTGATTGTAGAGAAAGTAGCAATTACACCAGAAAAATTATTAACTCCTGATGGAAAAAAAATTATTGCAAATGAATTGGATGGCATTTTAACAACAGCTAAAGATATTGTAACAAAAGAAAAACTGTCAGACTCTGGAGCTACTACAGCGCCCACTATGCCGGAAGATGAAAAAATCACGGAATCAAAAAAGGAAATTGAAGTTAGCGAATCAGACAAAAAAATTGAAGAATTTAAAAAAGCCAAAGATGCATTAAAAACACCAGATGAAGTGGCTGATTTACCATTTCACGAAGAAGCAGATGAACAAAAACCAAAAATTACTGACAAAGAAATTGAGTCAGAGATTGAAACCCAAGAAATTGTGCAAGTAGAAAACGCCGAATATGTACTGGTTTCATTAGATTCCTCTCCAGAAGTATTAAAACGACAAGTGTTGGACACGGTAGGTTTATTAGATACCGAACTTGAAGAAGATTCTGATAAAGAAGATGAATACGCAGAAACAAAACAAAGTTCAATTCTTCCTGATATTGATGAAAAAACTAAATTAATAGAACATTTACTTGAATCATCTAAAGATTTATGTGAAATAACAGACAAAATTGATGAACTAAAAAAACAAAATGAACATGAGATCACCAACCACCAAATTCATGACCATTTAGATAGCTCTAATCACGATAATACTAAAACATCAAATATGTGTACTCAATCAAATAAACAAGAAAACCCAACACTTATTCAAGAAGGAGCAACATTTGAATTACAAGAAGAAAAGAGTATCAATGAACAACATTCAAAAATTGTTTATGAAAATAACAAAGATTTACATAAAAGTTTTCATACAGATGAATGTAATGCAGAAAAGCGAGGAAACTCTGAAGATTTAAAACAAATTATGACAACTCAAGAAACAGATACAGAATTGAAAAACATTGAAAATAAAACTATTTGCCAAACTACAACATATCCTGAATCACTGAAAACAGACCAAGATGAAACTAAAATGTCCACAAGACAAGAACTTGAAACAGTACCGTCAGATTTAAATTTACACGAAGATTCAAACATAGTTAATATACAACAAAAATCAGAAACTCAAATAAATTCTGACACTGAATGTGAACATCAAGAAAAAACAACTACTGATGAAATAAAAACGAAAGAAAATAAAAGTTCAAGTAGATCAAGTTCTATCTGTGAGGAACATAATAGAACAAATGAGACAAAATTATCCACCAAAACAAGTTATGACGAGCCTTTAGACACACAAGAAATTCATAAAAATACTGATAAAAGTGGATCTACTTCACTTTATCAAGAACAAGACAAAACAAATATTACAATTGATAAAGAAAATTCAAAAGCATCTAACAAAACAGGCTCAGTTTGTGATGAACCTGTGAAATCACCAGTTCATGAAACAATTACAGCGACACATGCAGTTACAAGTAGATCTGGTTCAATAATTGAAGAACCAGAAAATGTAACTGATATGCAGAGGTCAAAAGCATCTAGCAGGGCTAGCTCAGTTTGTGACGAACATGTGAAATCTCCAGTTCATGACACAATCACAGCAACTAATGTACTTCTAAGCAGATCTAGCTCTACAACGGAACACCCAAAAATTATTCCAGATAATGGCACTGATATGCAAAAATCTAAAGCATCTAGTAAGGCTAGCTCAGTTTGTGACGAACCTGTAAAATCTCCAGTTCATGAAACAATCACAGCAACACATGCAGTTACAAGTAGATCTGGTTCAATAGCAGGAGAACCAGAAAATGTAACTGATATGCAGAGGTCAAAAGCATCTAGTAGGGCTAGTTCTGTTTGTGATGAACCTGTGAGATCTCCAGTTCATGACACAAACACAGCAACTAATGTACTTCTTAGTAGATCTAGCTCTACAACGGAACACCCAGAAATTATTCCAGATAATGGCACTGATATGCAAAAATCTAAAGCATCTAGTAAGGCTAGCTCAGTTTGTGACGAACCTGTAAAATCTCCAGTTCATGAAACAATCACAGCAACACATGCAGTTACAAGCAGATCTGGTTCAATAGTAGGAGAACCAGAAAATGTAATTGATATGCAGAGGTCTAAAGCATCTAGTAGGGCTAGCTCTGTTTGTGATGAACCTGTTAAATCTCCAGTTCATGAAACAATTACAGCGATACATGCAGTCACAAGTAGATCTGGTTCAATAACACAAGAACCAGGAAATACGTCTGATATGCAAAAATCTAAAGCATCTAGTAGGGCTAGCTCAGTTTGTGACGAACCTGTAAAATCTCCAGTTCATGAAACAATCACAGCAACACATGCAGTTACAAGTAGATCTGGTTCAATAGTAGGAGAACCAGAAAATGTAAATGATATGCAGAGGTCTAAAGCATCTAGTAAAGCTAGCTCCATTTGTGATGAACCTGTAAAATCTCCAGTTCATGAAAAGGTTACAGCAACTAATGTACTTCTAAGTAGATCTAGCTCTATAACGGAACACCCAGAAATTATTCCAGATAATGGCTTGGATATGTCAAAATCTAAAGCATCTAGTAAGGGCAGCTCAGTTTGTGACGAACCTGTAAAATCTCCAGTTCATGAAACAATCACAGCAACACATGCAGTTACAAGTAGATCTGGTTCAATAGCAGGAGAACTAGAAAATGTAACTGATATGCAGAGGTCCAAAGCATCTAGTAGGGCTAGCTCTGTTTGTGATGAACCTGTAAAATCTCCAGTTCATGAAACAATCACAGCAACACATGCTGTTACAAGTAGATCTGGTTCAATAGCAGGAGAACCAGAAAATGTAACTGATATGCAGAGGTCAAAAGCATCTAGTAGGGCTAGTTCTGTTTGTGATGAACCTGTGAGATCTCCAGTTCATGACACAAACACAGCAACTAATGTACTTCTTAGTAGATCTAGCTCTACAACGGAACACCTAGAAATTATTCCAGATAATGGCACTGATATGCAAAAATCTAAAACATCTAGTAAGGCTAGCTCCATTTGTGATGAACCTGTTAAATCTCCAGTTCATGAAACAATCACAGCAACACATGCTGTTACAAGTAGATCTGGTTCAATAACACAAGAACCAGGAAATACGTCTGATATGCAGAAATCTAAAGCATCTAGTAGGGCTAGCTCAATTTGTGATGAACCTGTTAAGTCTCCAGTTCATGAAATGATTACAGCTACTCATGCAGTAACAAGTAGATCTGGTTCAATAGCAGGAGAACCAGAAAATGTAACTGATATGCAGAAGTCCAAAGCATCTAGTAAGGCTAGCTCTATTTGTGATGAACCTCTGAAATCTCCAGTTCATGAAACGATTACAGCAACTATTGCAGTTACAAGTAGATCTGGTTCAATAACAGAAGGACCAGAAAATACGTCTGATATGCAAAAATCTAAGGCGTCTAGTAGGGCTAGTTCAGTTTGTGATGAACCTGTAAAATCTCCAGTTCAAGAAACAATCACAGCAACACATGCAGTTACAAGTAGATCTGGTTCAATAGCAGGAGAACCAGAAAATGTAATTGATATGCAGAGGTCCAAAGTATCTAGTAAGGCTAGCTCTATTTGTGATGAACCTGTTAAATCTCCAGTTCATGAAACGATTATAGCTACTCATGAAGATACAATAAGTTCTGGTTTTAGAACAATAGAACACGGAAGTACTTTAGAAAATGTTACCGATATACAAGAATCCAAAACAGAAAGTACAGCTAGCTCAGTTTGTGGTTTACCAACTGAATCTCATGTTAATGATACAGTCAACGCATTAAGCAGTACATCCAGTTCTATCACGCAAGTATCAGAAAGTATTCCAGAAAACGACATTAATAAGGAAGGATCTAGTAAATCTGTCCCTGTTTGTGACGAACCAGTGAAATCTCCACTTTGTGAAAACATTATATCAGAAGATGTCATTACAAATATATCCAGTTCTATGACACAAGGACCAGAAAATATCACAGATAATCAGTGTTTAAAAGCGTCCAGTCAAACCAATTTAATTAGTGAAGAACCGGTAAACTCGTCGGGGCTAACATTAATTAATACTAATGAAAGTGAATCAAAAAGTATATCGAGTTCAGTTAATCAAGAACAAGGTATTGGACTCTTTTCTATTGCGGACAAACAACAAAATAATTCATCTAGTAAAGATCGATCAATTTGTGATGAAATATCTACAGTTCAAGAAAATATATCGTCAAATATTGCTAATACAAGTATATCCAATTTAGAAAGTACGTCAATAAATATCCTGGGTGAGCAAGAATTAAAGACCTTAAGTAAATCTGTTTGTGATGAGCTTTTAAAATCACCTGGTCTTGAAATCGACACCGAAGAATGTGTAACAAAAAATACGTTGAATACTGAATTGGATAAAGTGGAAGTTACTACATCTATGAATGCAGACTATAAATGTGATGTAACTACTATGTCTCCCAACAAAGAATTGTATGAAATAGAAAATAAAGTCATGACTCAATCGAGAATTGATTTTTGTAATGAAGGAATGGTGAATACTTCTATTGATGATCATCAAGAACCTAAAGTATTTAACAATGAGGGTTCTACTCATAGAGAACCGATAAAGTACCAGGAAAAAAATTGTAATGAAGATTTAATTTCCAATAAAACAAATTCTAGAGAAGAATTACTTGAATCTTTACCTACAAGTAATAATTGTTCTACTGTAGATGATATTATATCTGATAAACCTCTTAAAGAACAAAAATCCATTTCTACATTATTAATAAGTGAAAATAGTTCACTTAACCAAGATACAGAATGTGCACTTATAATTGGCACGAACAAACATGATTTTGAATCATGTAGTATAAAAGATTCGTTTGACCAGGATAAGAACAAATCCTCAACATTTTCGTCAAGTAGTACAAGTTCAATTTGTCAAGAAATAGATACTCAATCTTCAAAACTTTCTAGTAGAAAAAGTTCTGTTGTTGATGAAACAATTGATAATCCTTCAAAATTACAAATTATGGAAAAGAGTTCTAGTCTTCAGGAATCAAATGTTTATGAACACAGTATTGATGATAATTCCAAAATATTCAACAAATCTGGATCCTTGTGTGATGAAATGCTAAACCTGCCATTTACTAAGGTAACAGAAAACATAATTTCAAATAAAGCATATGAACAAGCAGTTTCTTCAGCAACTACCATCGGAAGTACAGAATCTAAAATAAACAATGAAGTTGAATCAATGTGTGAAGAATCTATTAAGTCTCATAATAATGAAATTTGTACAAAAGAAAATTTAATTTCAAGTATCTCAAGTTCAATTCACCATGAAACAGAAGATGAAAAGTGTCAACTACCAAGAAATAGTTCTGTATTTGATGAACCTCAGAATTTACTGATTGATGATAATACAATTATTTTGTCACCTTCTGACAATAAAAATAAGTCTAATGTAATTGAAAAAAAACCTGAAGAATCAAAATCTTTAGGTAGAATAGGTTCTTTGTGTGAAGAAATTGCGAAATTTTTAACTGATAACGATAACAAAACATCAACTATTATTAAGCCTGAATCACAGTGTAGCTTAAACGAATCTCTTCCTTTAAAAAGTGAAAAAGAAGAATTAGAAGTTGAAACTGAAACGTTATTACAACTTAATAAAAATACTGATACATTAAACAAGGTTGAAAAATCTCTACAACTTGACGATAAAGTTAAAGTTGATGAAAAACATGATAACGTAAATGAGAAAAATACAGATCATAGTCTTCCTGTTGAAAATATCACTGTTTCTAATAATAAGTCTCCGAATATCTCAACATTATTGATTGAAGAAAATAATAAGACTGGTATAATGAATGTTGCTCAAATAGTAGGGAAAAATATCACTGACGAATCTCTTACTAAGCATACCGTGATTACTGATAATGAATCCAAGAATTTAAAAACTGTCACTCCGACCTCCAATATTACTTCAGAAGAATGTATTAGTAAATTATCAAACGTATTAATTGAAGATGTAGTTAAAACATCTGATGATAAAAATAGGATATGTGATTCATCAATAACAGACATTTGTATGAATCAACCATTAGGTGTTACTTTGAATATTGAAGACTTAGGTGTCACTAAAGACATAGTGATGCAATTAAAAAGAGATGTACACGAAGCATTGCACCCATGTAGTAGTGATGACGAACGGCCATTTACTCCACACAGCGAGTCTAGCATGTCTAGATCAGCAATGAATATTGATGATGACGACGATGATAACGAAGACAATAAAATTGAAACTGATGATGATATGCCCGGCTCCCCTATGTCTACTGGACCATCACCCGTACAAATGCAACTCGATAATCGACATGTAGAAATTAACATGGATTTTAATAAAGCTATGCAGGAACATAGGATTACTAGAGGTGAAGATTTGACAACTACTGAAGCAAACGGTAACCACGTTACAGAAATCAAGACAACTAAACATGATAATATTAACCAAAACCAAGGTACATCATCCGATACGGTTCAGAGTTGGGGTAAACCATTAGGTCTACCACCAGTTCAAAGCATTAATAATAACGGTTTTGATCCAATTCGCGAGTGGGGAAAACCATTAGGTCTTCCGTCTCCAACACAGCCGATCCTTGAACTCGCTGAACCTCAAAATATGAGTAGTAAGACAACACCCAAAAAGAACGTGAAAAAGATTATAGACAACAAACCAATAATTAATGTCATGGGTAAGAATATAAAAATAATTATATATTTCAAAATGTTATCTATTTATGTAATTTACAATAATATGAAATGGGTTGAGTAAAAAATAATATTATAATATTATTCTTTTAATTTTTCAGACAAAGATGCTCAAAATCGAATCCGGCGATCGGAATCACCGAGTAAACTCAGGAGTCGATCATCGAGTCGAATGTCGAGAATTAATCCCATTTACCTGGATCTTATTTATGTGCCACATCATGGAAACTCAAAATATGTGTCTGCTGACTTCTTTAAGCGGGTACGAGCGAGAAACTACGTTTTTAGCGGTACAGACCCCAGTAAAGAAGTCTTAAATGCTTTAATCGAAGGAAAGCAAGCTTGGGAGGATCAAGATTTAGGTGAGTATCATAAATCTTATAAACATATTTCGTTCGCTAATACAATGAAACATATTAAAACAGAGGTCACCATAATACCAACTTATGACACTGATACACTGGGTCAGTGGGTGGCAGAAAATGAGGAATTGCTGAACAAGTTGAAGATCGATTTAAGTCCAAGTGCCAGCCGATGCACGATAAAATTACAAGATCATAACACCAGCTGCTCCGCATATAGACTAGAATTTTAATTAAAATTATTACAGATAGATATTAATGCGAGTATTGACATAGTCTTCGTCCATCATATTATTAGAAATATATTGTTAAGTGTGATAACTGATAAAACTGTCTGTCCATTTTACTTCTCAATGAAATTTATGGATGCTTTATATTATTATTAGTGTAAACAAGTACAACAAGTAAATTCGCTTCCGTTCTGGATTTTTTTTGGCAGAGCGTGCGAACAAACAATGCACACTAAATTACAAGACTGGACAATCCATCCTGGGTAGTTCTACTATTTTTCTTTCTATTATATATGAACAATTATAATAAAGTTTAGCTACTTTTTATTCATTCACATTTTGTGTAGTACCAACATCGGGCGCTTCTATTTCACTTAAACCAACTTTATTACTGTTTAATAATTACTTTTTTTCATTCTTCTTAAAATATTTACAGTAAGATACGCAATGCATATGCTTTAAAAGATTTTAATTAAATATATGTATTGTGTAAAGTAAAAGATAATGAAACTAGCAGATATTTTATCATAAATAGTTTTTACAAATTCGCTTTGGGAATTGGAATTTAAACATGTCGAAAACGTTATGTGATGAACATTTTTAATAATACATTTCTACGAACTGACTGTACGACAGGGTAATCGGAGAGACCGTTTAAAATCGGATATCAAAATTGCTGAAAAACCTATATACCTAATATGTTTTAGTTATTTAATTTTTAATCCCACAATTGTTTGACATTGGACAAATTATGATAGGTGCCTACTATTTCTAAGAATCCTTTATTGAAACTGATCCAAACATTGAGTCCATGTTAATATTTTACTAAAAACCTGATGTAGATACCTAGGTATTTATTCATCATAAATATTTTATTCCGAATTATTGTTATTATAGGCTAAGCCGACTAATATGTTTGCCTGTTGTCATCATCTATCAGTATCTTCCAATGTTTTAGACTAGTTTGAAAAATATATTAATTGAAAAGCTTTTTATGTTCGTCAGAATTAATATTATTATTATTATTATTATTTCACATCATATTTGATTGTAGATCATCGTGGAAAATATGATACTTGTCCATGCGTATATACATAAGAATAATATTAATAGGTAGGTACTGCGTTTTGCATTTCGATTTCTTCGGGGGTAAAGATGGATAATAATATTTGAATGGCGCACCTTAATAAAAAAAACCTATTAACGACAATAATAATAAATTATAGTTGATAAACCACTATGACTAGTGATAGACATTAGTTTGATTTTGATTACTGTTCATCGAGCTTATGATTTATTTTTGGGTACTATCGTAAATTAGGATCGCTATATTATATTATTATATAATAATAATTTGTACAACTATAACGCGTCAACGCAAATTTCTGTCCAAGACACTCCTACTTCGTTACGTCCAATTCATCCATCCTCTTTTCCACACACAGTAACAACATTTAAACATAATTTTACCCCTGTTCTAATTTGTTTATTACCGTATTGTTTATCAGTGGTCATGACATATTATAACTTATAAGTATTAAATATGGTTTGCATGAATCTATGTATTTCACTGTACGGTGTACGTGTGTAATAAGCGAATTAAATATTAGACAATTATATTATCTTTATTCTCACTAGATCTTATCCAACAAGCATTGTCTACTTATATTCGTGGCTTTGTGATTCGTATATATAAAAAGACATAATTTTACACGTATACCTATGTAATATTTATTATCCACATTCATAGCTCGTCGACCTACTTCGAAGGCTTGGTATGATTATTATTTAGGATTCGTGAAAGAGCTTTTTACGGGTCATTTTTTAAATGGTGCTATGTTCCGTCAAGGATAAAGTTACTCTGATGACTTAAGAAAAAACGTGATTTATGTATTTTAGTTTTTAAATATGTTAGTATCATTATACATTAATCTTTTATACGGATAGTTAATTGTATTGAATAATCATAACAATATAATATTAATTCATTGAAGTGTGTTTTACAGATGAACTCGTCGCATTAGGTTTATTACTGTGTAGTTTAAGATTATAGATTATTTTTTAATTGTATTTTATACTTTTATCTTTAGTGAATTAAAAAAAAAGTTATTATTGTTTAAAAAAATTACGCAGTCTGCACGATCTTCTAACATAATACCTATACGAATCGATTTTTGCATTTGCATATTAAAAACAATATTTTGTTGTGTTATTTAATAAGTCTAATTTATCTGTTATAACATATTATAATATATACCTACCGTATATTACTTAGCTATTTACAAGTTTATATAAATGTTATCTAAGCGTTAATACAAGTGGAGTACACAATTAAAACAAAATACTTGATTACATTTGCAAGTAGATACATAAATAGCTTGTGATAATACAGAATTTTGTTTTACATTTTAATTCAACATATGGTTTTATTTCTTTAAGGTTAATTTTTTTTCTTATATTATATTATGTAAAATTTATCAATGCTATTAAAAGAAAATGCTATGTTGTTCTTATATCGGCCTACAGATTTTTTTCTTTTTTTACTAATTTATTATTATATACCATTTGTATTATCATTATTAATATATTATTATTATTAATTTTATTCGCGTTTAAATATAAATTACTTACTTAACCTTCCAGCTCTTAAAAATCGCAAATGATAATATTGTATAAGGGTAGTTTGTTAGAATCTGTAATTTGATAATTAAATGTTTGATTTTAGAACTAAATTGATTTATTTTTTTATTTCTAAAATTATTGTAAGAAAAGACTTATTCTTACTCAATATCTCAGTAATAAGTCCATACAAATTTCCTGATGTAATAAGTACTTATAATATTTAACTTACATTTGTGTCATACTAGAAGAAATTAGTGTGCGCTGTGCATTAAACTATGTGCATCTTATTCTATAAAGTAATTATTCTTAAAGTAAGTATCCCTAGATAGTTTTTTTCTTTATCGACAGGCTATTGATGATTTTCAACTGAAAAGATCCTTGGACTGTAGGACTACAAAGAATTGAAAAACATCCCTGTAATATAAATCTGAATAATATTAATATTAAATATTTGTAATATTTTTTTTTTTATTTTTTTTTTTTTTTTTGACATAAGCAATCCATACAATTTTGTACAGTAAGTTTATATGATGAGAGTATTTAAATGACATGAAAGGTGTGAATTAAGCAGCCACCCATTAGTGACTCTTGGCTATTGATTAGTTATTATTTTTTTTTTTTTCCCCCACTAAGAGACATTAGACATTAAAGTTTTGTAAAAGGTCATTTCATCATTTTCTTTTTAATCTGCGGTTAGGATTTCCTGAGAAAGTAAGGATGGAAAGATCTTTTATGAGAGGGTGCTTCCTCATCTATTGTTTTCATATGGAAATCATTATGAAGAGCGTAGTTAGAAGTTTGTAATACGAAAACACCTTTTTTGTCGTACTTATATTAACTCAGTCTATGTGCATAGCAAGGGAAATATGTGTATCCTTGTAAAGCCTGCAATAGGTGTTGTAGAGTAGATTTGCACAACAAAAAACTTCTATACACATAATATTATAATGATGTTGAGGCAGGTAAACCTATATATTACGAAAATAAGAATACACCAGTGAGGCAGTAAAAAAAAATTTTGAAAATGTTTGCTGAGTGCGTCTTGAATCGACCTTTATTTAATGTTTTGAGTGCGTCCGGAATAAGGTATCGCTCGTATGCGTCGTAAGAGAAAAGGTCATCTTTTTTATGAAGTCCGGGTCGTTCCAGTTCATTTAGGATTGTGTTTTCTAATGTGTACCACGAGGATATATACTGGCTTACACCCCAAATGATAAAAATTAAAAACAGAAAGAACTCTGGATATCCAAAATGACCAAAATGTTTACCAGGCAAAGTCAGGTAGGTAAGGAGTAATACTAAAAGTAATGACCTAACAATTTATGTAATAAAATAAAATAATAATTAATTATTGTTCGTTATTCAAATGTTAGAGTTGTAGGTATTGAAATAGAAATCGGTTACCGGTATTGCGGTATTATTGTAGAACCAGTATACCTGCAAAAGAACATGCAACATATATAGTATAGATACCGCACCTACAGTATATTATTTCTGTATTAAACGGTATGTCGGTACTTCGGTATTATACAAAATACTTACCTTTCAAGCGGTATTTGAGCTAAACAGGCATACCCATTTAAAACGTTCAGACTTGGGGTACAATACTTTTAAAAATTATTACAAATAAATATTCGAATACTTACGAAAACTTTAGTAATCGGAAAAAAAAGTTTAGTGAAAAATTTACCGAAATAATTTTTCTTGTACAGTTCTACAGTTGTACTTAGTATTTAGTTGGCAATATAAATTATAAAATGCTAGTACATGTATATTTGTTATCTATCATAAATCGGATAGTTAACGGTAACGAGACTTGTGGCCAGACTGTTGGATTATACCGTCTAAATGTGCATTTGTTTTCGAATTTTATATTTTAATATAATTTATAATTGAATTTATTGATTCTAAGAAAAATACCCCCAGCTAGGTTGAGTACATGGGATTTTTGTTCAATTTCCACAAAAAAATGGTCTAATTTTATTCGTTGAAGATAAAACGTTATATTGATATATTCGTTCAAAAAAAAAAACAGTTCTTTGAAGTGTTCACGTTTTTCAAAAACTGATTTAGGTATAACTCGCCTAACTTTTATTTCCGTGCATAATGATATAGTGCATCAAGGAAAAAATCTTATTTCTGCAATAAAAATAAAAAACTTAAGCTTACCTGTAAGTCATAACGTAAGAAACAGTTGTGATTTTTATTTTATTTTATTTTATTTATTTGTACATATATAATATATACTAATTGACGCCAAACGGCTTTTATAACAGTATGGATCAAGATATTACAAAATTAAGTATTATGGATAAGACAAATATAAGTAAATATAGTAATAATATAATTTGTGTGTTAAAATTAAAAGCTAATGTGATGTGTGAGTCTAGGTACGAAATTATTGGTTTTTATTAAATATGGACATCATTCTTGTTATAGGAGCATTTTTTGCAAAATTGCTTCGGCCTAACGGTATATAAAAAAAATCTTTATTACGGGTATTACCAGGGATACGAATGCTCAGTCGTTCCAATAAACGAGGTGCGTCTATCTTGCCATCAATCAGTGATAGAATAAAACAACAACTGTCAACTATAAGTGATATGACGTTCAGAAAGTGACTTGAATTTAAACAAATACTTAATTCTACTATAGTCGTGAGGAGGGTGGGTAACATTGAGGTTATGCCATGCGAAACATAGGAAGCGGTTTTGGACTCTATCAAGTCTCTGCATGTTACTCTTCGTGTAAGGAGACCAGACGAAAACACCGTACTCCAAGAGCGATCTTATATGAGAGTTATAGAGTACAGAGAGGCATTTCGGGTTATCAAAATTTTAAAAATGTCTTCTAATAAAGCCAAGTACGCGTAGCGCTTTACCAGAAACAGAGTCAATATGTGGTCGAAAATCTAGTGATGGAACATAAGTAAATCCGAGGTCTTTTACTTGATTAACGCGTTCAATTTTCGATTAAAATATTATGTTTTAAATTGCATTATCATAATAATTATATGGAAACTATAATATTTATTATTTTCGACATTTTTAATTAATTGACCTTTTCCTAATGTGGGACTTTTTTTTCTGTGATTCTAAACATTGGATTCGGATACTTCATAAGTATATAGTATTCCGAATAAAGTAATATAATACAAGTATTCCAGATAATTTAAAAATATTTTTTATTTAAGATATCAGGAAAATTATATTTATCTTCAAGAATAGGTACCTATTTGAAATTATAATCAATGTTAAAATATAATATTACGTATTTATACACCTATTAATTGTGGTAGTTTATAACTTAAAACAATAATAAAATAAAATAAATTATTTAATATTCTGAACAAATGGTATTTGTAATGCCTTTAAAGTATTCAGAATACAGTATCAAGTATTTTTGAGAAATAGTATTCTAAATTTGTTCCGAATAATAACCCCCCTCCCCATGAGACGTCTGAAAGCGGTAAGTATTACCAAAAAACCGTCACTCCTGCCAAATGTACAAACAAATGCAATCTACATATTATTGTGTTTGTAATTTATAAACTCAAAATCTAAAATACGAAATACAAAGTTTTAAAATGTGACGTTTATACGAATAAAATATAATGCTGATATAGGTGCCGTACAATGCGTATTGTGTGTGCGATAAGAAATGTAATATTTTAGAGCGTGTTGGTTTTACAATGAAAACTGTTTTTATGGGCGAATTTGAACTCATAGACAATACCTACTAGTTAATTATTATTTAAATCTATGTTATTAAGAATATGTTTTAATTGTTTTTAAAATAATAAATTGGGGTCTATTGTATTACGAATATAAAAATAATTATGTTAAAACTTATATTAATGTAGAACTTTTTATTTCCATTAATCTATAAACGAGAATTATTTATGGTTACCTATACGTATAATCATTGGGTATACACTATACAGCGTGTACTTAACAAAAAGATCTGAAAAATAAATGATACTAGTTAAGATTGACAAAAATTGTGAAATCATATGGATAATAAATCATTTAAGAAATATACTCATGTCGGGGATTTCCCAAAAATAATATTTTGAAAAAAGTTAGGTATTGGGTTTTATATAAATTACTCCAAAAAAAATTAAACTTAAGAAAATTAATTACTTGACTTAAGTAAATGTTTTTAACATAAAAATTGTTGTTATAGCCAGATTTACATTTTGTCTATTTTGAAATGTTCTAAAAAATTTTTTGATTGAAGTAATAAATACGAAACAATGAACAATTTAAATTTAAGCCAGACGAAATTTATTATATAATTTATAAAATTAACTTAACTTATCAGTGTACTGCCAAATCGTAGGTACATTAATTTTCCATAGGTATCCATACTGTTTATGGTTATTGCAAAATGTAATAATAAAGTAAATAATTGGTATATACCTATAACAAAGTACAGTTTTTACTTTTTTTTAAACAAAAGCAAAATGTGCTGGATCAACTGGAGCATGATAATCGTTGCTCATTCGACTGGTGAACCGGCTGCCTTTCTGAATAGATTAGCCAAAGGCTTGTGAATGGGTTGCTTATCGCTATATATTGTTTTCATACATGCCTATAATAGTCATGACTACAATATCGAACACTTATAAATTAACACTCATATCGAAACTAACTATAATGGTTTATGTCAAAAAAATCAACAAAATATGAGCACATTAAATTTTGTTTTCATTCTACATTTTTTTTAAATTTACTACAATTCAGCTATCGTATTTTAATTAAATATTTTAGGTATTATATTATAATAGATTATTAGAATCGTCGTATTTTGATTGTTTTATATAATACATACACCAGTCAATTGAATAATCAAGTGTTCTGTAAATAACAAATTTTTATTTTTCAAATTAACAGTATGAAACATATTTTACACAAAGAAATACTGAATACATGGTAATATATGTATGATTTAATATACAAAAAATAATTTAAAAAAAAATAATATAATAATATAATATATATATATATTGAATACATCTCAATGTATATAGTTACCCGTAGGAATGGTTAGAGGGAAAACATAAAAACAAAAATCGCGAGGGCCAACTAAAAGGTTGCCGCGGCGGAAAATGACGGCCGTCCGTCGGTACAAAACTAAAAGAAAAATGTAAAAAAAAAAATGCGACGAGGAACAAGGGTGCTCGAAAAACCGGATGAGCCACATCGCGGTAACAGAGTACCACTCTAATCATTATTATTCGGAGAACAACAACAGCAGAACAACAATCTGCCGACCTTGAGGAGTCGGTTCCCCAGTGCTGACGTGATGGACGGCCTGCGACGATCTTGCAGCGGTTGTTCTGCTGCTGCTGCTGCTGCTGACTTCACCGTGGCCGTGGTCACTGACGATTCGATCTCGTCGCCATCACTTTTTGCTACGTCTATAGCCGTGCTCTGAACTGCCTCCTCAATATGTTCTGACTGAATCACGCTCTTGACCTCTAGGACGTCCGGCTCACAATCTACGTCCGACGGCAGCTGGTTGTTCGCCGTTGTTGTTTGTCGCACGTAACTGGCCAAAAGACTAGGTCCCACACAATCACCGTCTTCAGATTGCCGTGATATCGGTGGCAAGTGTTCCACTTCCGGCGCACTGCTGAAACACCGCGGTAACGGCGGAAGGTGCTTACCGTACTTCGTGTTGGCGTTTCGGATTTCTGACGCGACTTCGTCAAACTCCAGCAACTTGTCCAAAACGCTCGGTACACAAATCCTCGGCACCAACGGCTGTTGTGATGCAATACTGCTATCACCGCTTGAAACAGACGACGACCGCTCGTCACTCGGACCCAGAGAGAGGGGTGGTAGATTCATTGACCTCTGAACGGCGGCTTTCAGTAAGTCCTCCGCCACCTCGTCCAACACTTTTAAATCTGCCGAAGTCAACATCATCGTTGGTTGTTGGCCACTGAGCTCACTGATATCACATACAGTTGTAGGCCTCGTGGCCAGTGTAGGGTCGTCCACCCTGTGCTCTTTGTCTTCCGACAAAATACTGCATCCGCTATGGCGGGTGCTATGCTCGCATTGCTGCAAACTCCCTGCAACAGCCGGAACATCCAATTGTTCAGGCGTTGTAATATGGTCTGCTTCTGTGAAACTTTCCATGATGGTTTTGTTTAAAAATTCAGAAATTGAATTTCAAGATATTATAATTGAGTTAAATTATTTAAATAATTTATGAGACAAAAAATAGTTTGGGTAATGCCTCGTAATAGACTGAAACAAAATTTGTTATAAGACGTATGAATAAACATTCAGATGAATGTACATATCCATGACAATGAAGTATAATATTATGATATTGTTGAACATTGAAAATAAAATAGGTATATGGCTAATTAATTTTCAGCCACATTACATATGTGTATTTAAAATGACGATTGTAATATTCTTACATTTCAATATATGGTTCAATAATAATTCGTTCACATGTACGGTTAGCCAAAAGTGGCATTTTGAGTTGACAACTCTACAATATAAAATATAATATGGTCTCTGCTAGTGTCCACGATATTCGTGTAGATACATTTTACGCGGTCCGAGTTGTGCAAAGCGCGCCCGCTTGTTCGACTTAGTGAACCCGTTGACTTCGCCTCATTTTATTTTGGTTTTGTACTTACGTCCGTCGTTTTCCGTCAGCAACCTTAGTTGGCTCTCCTCGCGATTTTGGTTTTGTTTTATCGCCAACCGTTCTTGCCAACACATATGTAAATTATGGTGAATCAAGTTATTGTATGTATTCAATATTTCATTGTGTATGAATGTGCTTCATATTGTTATTTAAAAAAAATAAAATTAGTTATAAACAGATCACATGTTTATTTAATCGACTTGTGAATATATTATTTAAAACAATTAAAATGCGAAGATTCTAATAATCTATTCTATAATGCCTAATATATTTAATTAAAATGCAGATCGGCTGTTTAAAATGCGGCACTAGTATTTTAGTAAATTTGAAAAAGTTTAGAATGAAAACAAGATTTAATGTGCTCATATTTTGTAAATATTTTGTCGAGATTCTCGACATGAACCATAGTTTTAGTGTTTGATATTATAATTATTATTATATTTAATTTTCAGTTCTAAGCAATAAAAATGAAAAAAAATGTAAACTATAAAGTCTTTATAAATTATATAAAAGAAAGACATTTTTAAAATATCGATTTTAAATTTTAATAAATAGTGATTACATTTGGTCAGTCCTTTCTGTTACACCATTCATTGAACAAAATATACTCAATAATAGTATGTTTACATTTACTTTTAATTTTAATTTTAATTTTAATGCTACATGGGCACATTGGTATATTTATTTCATTTCTCGCAAATAAATCGGTATAATTATTATTTATTATATACTTAAAACGTATTATAGTATTTTACTTTTACTATACAGTAACATACTAACATGAAATTAAATCATTAAATCTTATACTACCGTACCACGTCAAATAATTTTACCACGTGACGAGATTGGATGTCTCACCGATCAAATTTTGATGTAATATGCATGCGTGATGCGTATATCATAAAATAATAATCAGGACCTCACTAATCACCCTTTCTGTCTAATATAGTAGTTCCTTGTGATAACGAAGCCTTGACTAACTTCGTCATCCAAAAGACACTAATAAATACGAAACAATGAACAATTTAAATTTTAAGCTAGACGAAATTTATTATATAATTTATAAAATTAACTTAACTTATCAGTGTACTGCCAAATCGTAGGTACATTAATTTTCCATAGGTATCCATACTGTTTATGGTTATTGCAAAATGTAATAATAAAGTAAATAATTGGTATATACCTATAACAAAGTACAGTTTTTACTTTTTTTTTAAACAAAAGCAAAATGTGCTGGATCAACTGGAGCATGATAATCGTTGGGGTTGCTCATTCTACTGGTGAACCGGTTGTCCTTTCTGAATAGATGTGCCAAAGGCTTGTGAATGGGTTGCTTAGCTTTATCGTACTCGTACCTATTAACCGGCACGGACATACCGTTTGTGTTGTACAATGGATACTTGGCACATAGCTACAAATACGAAAAAAATTATTATATTTATTATTCAATTACAAATGTATGACTGTTTAAGCATGCCATTTGGGACCTTGTACAATTAAGGTACAAATTATAAAATGAACACATAATATAATATTAGCTGTATAATATTTTTCTTAAACCTAGTTTCAAATTATCTGTGTTTTTACGATGGATTTTTTAGATATTTCGATTTGTTAGTTAGAAACATGTAACATAATATAACAATATTTAAAAAATATATAATTCACTTTAAAATTAACATATCGTAAAAAACCAACCTGAGAAGTGAGAACATAGATAAATAGATAATGTTCTTAACTTTAAGCTGAAACACCCCATACACCTAGGATATATAACTCTCATTTATTTTATCTATTCTCTAGTTATCATAGATGCTAACGTGCTGTACTGCAGTTATACATTTAACTTTGAGTTGTCTTTATTTTAGATGTAGCTATGTAATGGACTAGGCCACTAGAGCCTACAGTGTCTAGACGTCAAAAAATCGAGTAATGCAGGATTTCAATATGTCCGATAAATATAATTCGTTATTATAAATTCACATTGAAATTCATTTACTGGTTTTACATTACCTCCCGTTTTCATCATACTTATTTATTCAACACTGAGATTTTGAGTGCTTAAAATATAAAATAAATTTTAAAAAGGCTGATTTATTTTACAAATTGTATTTAATTCAAATTTAATTATTATCAATAGGTTTGCAGTATTTGTTGAGTTTATTGTTATTTAGTTCCAAACATGTTAATCGTTCTTATTTATTTATTTTTTGTTTTATTAATGTACTAAAAATCAGAGATAAATTGTATTGAGACCTAATCTGCTAATCTACAACACATAGTAAATTATTTAAACTGTTGTCTATACATATTATTTACATAACTCTAAAGTCAGATTTTTTAGGAAACAATTTTGAGTTGTTAAAATAATTTTTTTTTACAAAAGTACATACACGATATTTACAAATTAATTCAAAATAAGAGTATAAAATAAAAGGCTATACATAACATGAATTACTTGAATAAGAAGCCACCCATTATAGTGACACTTAGCTTGGCATATACCATTTTATATATTGATTATTGAGGAGAGATGTTTTTAATTTAAATGGTCACTACACCATTACCTTTTGAGTGTGTGTTGTAGATTTCCAAGAAGTGTGAAGGTATAACTCTTTTATAAATTATAAGTTGGTCGAGGTGATTTTCTAGTTAGGAGAAAAACCAATTGTAAATTAATTCTGCTTCAGTTTTAACAGGTTGGATACCTAGATCTTGGTGGAGAGTTAAATTAGAGACAAAAAAAGGGAGCGTTAATGATTTTTCTAAGACTTTTTATAGGTTTGGATTTCGTTTGAGTTTGATTTTTTAGCCAGTACCCAGAGTTGCAACCCATATGCCCACAGAACAAACAAATTTTAGTAGAGTTTTGTATATTAGTAGTTTAGTTTTTAAGCTAGTAAATTTATTTTTTGATCATAAGGTTTTTAGTGACCTCGATCGAACATTCGAGTGTTAAAGCTTTTTAGCTCTTATATGTTTGTTCCCAGTTAATTTTTGGTCAAGAAAAACCTAAATATTTAATAACATTGAGGGGTGGCACAGGTATATTATTGACTGAAACATTTGGTCAGTGACCTTGTTTAAAGGGTAAAAGTTGTATGGGTAAATTTTACTGTGATTTACTTTTACGCTCCATTTTTCATACCATTCAGATTGTAGATTTAAATGAGACTGTAAATTAGCAGAGGCTATAATGGGGAGAGAGAATAGTTCCTTGAGATACACTGGCGGTAATTGGAGCTATATCTGACATTGATGAATCGCAACGTATTGGAAAGAGGCGATTCGTAAGTGAAAATTAATTAAAAGAAAGAGCGGTGTGGGTAAAAATTTTCGAAGTTTATACAGAAGACCCTAGTCCCATACTCGGTCGAAGATCCGAGATATGTCAAAGAAGGCAGTAACATTTTTTTTCGAAACATGTGCTTTTAGCATCAACATTTACTACTCTGTGAGCTTGATGTTTCGTGCTTTGTTCATCTCTAAAGCCGAATTGTGAGGCTGGAAGTATATTATTTGCGAATATATAAGAAAATAAACGATTACCTAAGAACTAGTTTTTCAGAGATTTTCGAAAAATAGGATAAGGTACTAATATGTATTGTTTTTCGACTCTTAAGCTCCGAAGTTGTTCAGGGAATAGGTGGGAATTGGAGTATGTGTTAGGATTTCGGAGGTTAAACTAATCTAGTAGCTGCCCAAGCAGCTTACTGTATGAGTATGGTTAAATTATTTATCACTTTATCTAAATCAAGGTTAGATTTTAGTTTAAATTTGAGGTTTACTTATTCATTTATTATATTTTGAAGTTGTAAACGATGATAATATCTAAAAAAAAATGACTCGTCTACGTACTTCTTCATCTAGTTGTTCTCCTATTTCTTTTAGTTTGAACCCTTTGATTTTAAATGTACTGCTGTATGTTGTTTCAAATTGTCTATTTTGATCATAAAAAGCCTTTGATTTAGCTGCCAAGTCATTCATTACTTTTTCAGTCATTGTTTTCCACAAATATTCTTCAAATTCTTTTCTTTTTCTCTCTTAAAACAAACAATTTAATATTCATTAGATTGATGTTATTTGTACCTAAGTTATTAATTGATTATCCCGTTTATTTTATTTTTTTTTATTTTTTTATTTATTTAACGCCAAACGGCAATTTATAGATACATTGTACAATTAGAAGATTAACATGAAGAGATAATAATGAAATAAAGTACATGGAAAATATAGTTATAATTATAGACTTAAGTTTAAACTTATACTAAACAGCGTTCAGCTAAAAAGAGTACATGCTAAGGTAAAATAAAACAAAGACAAAAACATTCAGTAGAGATAAATAATAATATAGTCAGCTACAGATCAGGAGCTATTAAGTAGGCGGAGCATTCTGTCTAATGGATTATTATGGGAGTAATTAGTACGGTGAGAGGAGACAAGGTATAAAGAGTGATTTCTAGTGAAATGCACAGGAACCCGGAAAGAGACAGAGGACAGAAGGTTCGGTGCATCTATTGAGCCGTTAAGGAGGGAGGTGATGAATGAGAGGTCAGCATCGATACGACGAGATGCGAGAGTAGGGATATCTAAGGAAGTTCTAACTGATAGGTAATCATGGGGTGGGTGATCAATATTGAGTATAAAAGCGGCGTAGGAAAGGAAGCGGTTTTGGACACGCTCTAAACGTAATTGGTCCTTGGCTAGATACGGGTACCATACAACTGAGCCATATTCTAAGACAGAGCGGACAAGGGAAAAATAGAGGGATCGAAGACAAGTAGCGGACGTGAAAAGGCTAGTGTTGCGCTTTAAGAACCCTAGAATTTTTAACGCTCTACCAACAGTAACATCAATATGGTGTTCAAAAGAAAGAGAAGGAGTTAGATAGAACCCAAGATCTTTGACAGTGGATACACGCTCGAGAGTAGAGCCATTAAGGGAATAAGGATGGATTATGCAAGTACGTTTTCTATGAAATGACATAACATGACACTTGTTGAGGTTGAGCGTTAGGCCAATACGCTGGGCCCAGAGAGAGAAAGTATTGAGATCTGATTGAAGTTGAAGACAGTCAGATGGAGATGTAATTTTTGAAAAAAATTTAATATCATCGGCAAATAGAAGAACTTTAGAGGATGAAATGTACCTGTTAATTGAGTTAATAAAAAGGATGAACAGAAGAGGACTGAGATGTCCTCCTTGGGGGACCCCAGAGGGAGTAATAAATAAGTCAGAGTCAACGCCGTGAACTCTTACGAATTGCTTTCTTTGACTTAAATACGATTGGAGCCATGAGAGTAAAGGATTACCGATACCAAGTGAATCCAGTTCAGAAATAAGGCGGCTATGGCTAAAATGTCTGTCATTATGAATTTGTGTATTCAAATAATTTCACACTTTTAATAATTGTTTTATAATTTGTGCAAAATATACTGATACTAGTATACACATTGCACAACTTTAACGTGATTACATAATAACAATATATCAATATTATATAGAAAAAAACGTATTGTAATTGCATGATAACACATATAGGTATTCAGAACCATCAAAACAACAATATTTTCATTATTATATTTTTAGTAGGGGAGAATGGGGGAATGCCGGTCACCTAAGCGGGAATTCATGTACCACCAGTAATAAATAACCAAAAAATTTTCTACTGCTTACATTAGAACTATAAAGTTGTTAGCTACTACATATACAATTTTCAAAATTTTAAATTAAGTTTAACTTTTTTTTCTTTTTTTTTTTTAAAAAAATCGCAAATGACCGGTATTCCCCCTACCCTGGGGTATACCAAACTTATAATAGACACTAGTTACGCCTCATCTAAAATAATATCATCTCTTCCTTCCACAATCAAAATCCTGGCACATCTTGATAAAAAAAATTATATGCCAATACAAATTTTGCGTTAAATTATTATAATAGGTACATTCAAGTATTTAGTAAAATGGCTAAGGAAAGTGTATGTATTTGTTTGCTATGTAGTTGTGAATGTGAATTCACACTTGTATTTGTATAGTTGTATGTATATTGAGTTATTCGTGCATTCGGTAGATACTATTAACCAAATATTGTTAATTATTTATCTCCAACAAACTTAATACTATTCATCCCACTCCTAATTATTTATTAACTCATATAATATATAATTCATTCACTATTAATTATGGTAAATATAAAACGGTTTTGATTTTATTCCGCGTTGCGACTTGCGGCAGACACGCACATCTATAAAGCGTTTCTATAAAGAAAACAATATATTTGTCTCTAAATACTATTTATATTTATTCTTTACCCTGTTTTATTCTATTATATTGTTCTTTTATTTATATTTTTAAGAACAGCGCCCGCAGGACAAGCATTGCTATAACCAGGGGTGTTGCAATATTGTACACACAAAGGACATTTTGATGTTAACATATTGTCGATGTTGCATTAAATGTATTATTATTATAAGAATTGCAGCTGGCGAAATAATATAGGTACTATGTTTTATGCATAACCTAACTATACCTGGCAACAGTCACAACCACAGCGAAAAATAACAGAAGTAAATTAAAAAGTTAACATTTTAATTTATATTATTATAGCTTAGCTTGTTTTATGTTTGAATTTAAAATTAACCCTATACTTAATTAAAAGTTAATTCTTAGTTAGACGACCAATGATGCCGCAGCTACACCTCTCTGCTAAAACTATAATATTATGTACAACTAGTTTTAATAAAGATTTTAAAACTTTTTGTACACATTTTAACATACTTCATATTCATGGTAAAAACAAAATATGCTTACCTATATATAATAGGTACTCTTTGTATTAATAATCTATTAAGATTTGTACGATCAAACTTATCATAATAATAGTTAGACATAAGCCTAAATAAACAAGAGGTGCTAAATTTGAGCTTGAGATACTAAAGACAGTTTTACATTCCCCTAGTTACTCCAATAATACGTTTAACTACAAACTATAAACCTGTACAGCTGTACTATCTGTAAAGACGCGTTTACGAAGAGGCCTGCACCAGTTGCCCTCAAAAGTATCTTTTTTAAACCAATTCCTCCCAAACCTGAAACTTCTTAGAGCAAAATGCACCAGTTTCGCTCAAACAAACATACCATCGGGTATAAACTACCCACCTTTAAATACTTATAAGTTATAACTAATTCTTAAAGTTGACTTGTATGTACCGAAATAATATTCAGAAAAATATTCCGTTTTCGAAGATTAAATTAAAACTGTATAAGTTATCATTCAAAATAAAAAGAAATTTAAAAAATATATTTTGTTTTTATAACGTTCTTTAATACACATATGTTAAAGTTGTTTATTACAACTTGAAACCATGCAAAAAAATTGTTTTAAAAACAAATATAATTGTTGAAATAATGAGTAGTTTGTAATAAAACAAAAGAATCAGCTGGTATATTATCAAATTACAAATACTAATTTTTTACACCGTTTACACGTGCACGACAGTAGCAGGGGTTGTCGGGGCGGCTTCTTCCTCTGGGAAGGACTATTTATTCGAATATCGAATAGGTCATCGACCTCCCTGCATAAACAACGATATACTGGCTACACCATTTGTATGGGTACAAGCCAGCCCACCCTTCTACTGCCCTTTTATTTTGTAATTTGTTTTACTTTATACTATCATTTACTCGATCATTTATCAATACATTAAATCAGAATAATACTATCGTGCATTATTTATTATATTTTAATTTTAAATTAATGTAACAAAAATTCAATGAATATTTATATTCTTTTGATTAAAATTGTTTTTCATGTTATTTGTATGAGTTAAATAGTACATAATATAATAATAATTAATAGTATATAATAGATTAATATACATAGTAAATCGTTATTAATTTAAAAAAAAACAAATGAGAACTGAGAAGTGTGTGTATCCAAAACTGCCGGTAAAGAATTACAGAAGTCAGTGATGAATAATCTGTCATTGTAATTTAAATTGTAAATATTAAAATAAACTAAAAGTGAACCGCAGACCATAAGCAGGTACACAAAATATAATGGGAAGAGTTATTAACTATAAAAATAATGTTTGTCAAATCGGAGCATCATAAGTGAAAATTGGTGGTGGCTTGTTGGAGGAGTTAGGCCCCTCTGCAGCTATCCCATTAGCCCTCCCCCCCCCAAAAAAAACTTTTTAATTGTATATGGAATCAAAACCCCCCACTGGCCCCACTAACATTGTAGTCAATAATGTTACCCCCCAGATATTTTAATGGATTTCCACATATATTGTATTATTAGTTCATCGTTGTGGTTACGCAGGAATATTTTACATTTTCCAAACAACTGAAGATAATTTTCCAAAAATCCAACTACCATCAGACTTTGTAATAAACCTCAAAGTCCGCTGGTTTGTTGAAAAAAAATGTTTTTAATAAAATATGCTACCTCTACGGCTCTACAAAAAGACTCAATTCTTAAACGTCTATTACATATTATAGAATAATGAAGGGAATTATTAAAATGCAATTAATTTTCCCTGGTTTATAGCTCTGCAGAAGAATAAATACAGGGTTCTACCTATTCCGTCCCAGGTCTAGTATACTCAAGTCTAGATCTGTTCAAAGACAGGTGGTCATCAATATATGATATTATATTAAAATATAATCCACTTAAAATGTCTTTCGATTTCGACTTTACATACATAATGAGATTTGCAATGGCTTTTATCAAAATAAGTAGTAATAACCTTTATCGTTAAGCGGTTTTTCGTCAACAGTCTTAGGTGACCGGTAAGTCTCGTGCGTGGTAGACTGCCGGACACGCTCACTTTCACCACCTGCCATCTCGAACGTCTGTCGCCGGCTACTGTTCTTGTGCGGCCTGAGGACCGTTTCCTTGTCGGCAGACATTATATGGGTACAACTGTACTTACCTGTATTATAATATTATCATATACTTAAACTGGAATCAAGAATACGATCTACCGAATGGTGAGGTGGCAGCAACGGTCGTAATACTGTATTAGTAGGTATACATCATTATAATAATAATATTATATTATTGAATAATGTTATTACATTTTTTAATAGGTAGGTACCAACTACATTCCACAGTTGTACACAATAAATACTAAAATATACTAAATGATTTACCCTTACGGTTGGCTTATAAACAAACGAATTAACGAAATCCTCTAGTCCGTCGCTACGGCCCACGGGTACCAAGCGCCACCACCACCAATCATGGTATAGCACTATAATATTGGTATCGATCATGAGCTTCCGTCGGTTTAGGAACCACTGGCGCACCACAAATACCGTCGCGCACCGGAATGAGGTTAGGATTAATAAACGGCCGTAAAAAACATACGACCCACCACTACTATAGTCGCCACTCATCAAAACTCTATATGGTCTGTACTCACTAATCAGTAGTCACTGCCATCGACAACAACACGAATATACACCGCGAACGTAGAACGCATCATAATAATATTATATACTTATATACTACTATTGCACTGCTACTATTAATAATAAATTATTTTATCGATCATCGTCCGTGTAATCATTGCTGCGGCTTGCGACGTTATTTAGTATTTACATTTTACACACAACAGTCGTTTCGAAAACGTGTGCGCTCGCGTTCTGTTTGTGTGTGCGAAAGAGTGCGATGACGATCTGTTCACGGATTTCCCGTTGATCACGCCTTGAAGGATAGTTACCGACCATCCAGGTACCCCCCTAATGTTTTCTGTATTGCCAGTCCCCTACACTCGAACCGTGCCCTTAGTATTCAGTTACCAGTTGCCCCAGCGGGAGGGGTCTTTTTTCCTATATTTTATTACCCGAGTTCACAATCTGCTTAAGACGGACCCAAGGAGTGCACTCATTCTAGAACGTTCAGATCTGCAAATGGGGTGTAAAAACTATTGCGTTTATTTCGGTTTGTTTAACTTAACCGAACCCTCATTGAATGTGTGAGTCATCATTCCATGTCCCAGTCCAAACAGTCAACTCCTAAATGAACAACACCTTTGTAAATGGTGCAATTATTTTTTACTAGGGACTCGAGATTGACACAAATTTCTTAACATATGTTTCTTATCTTTAGACAAAAATTGTTTCATAAATTTACTACATCGGCTACAGAGTTTGAGTAATGTCCAAGGTTCAACTATTCAATTATTGTTTGCCTCAAAGGAACACAAATTTTGTTATTAAATGTGGGTGTATTGTTAGTTATTAGTTTATTACTGATAGTATCATCATAATATGATTCAATTGGTACAGGGGTATGTGTTATGAATGACTCAACACAGTTTTACTGTTTCTGGCTGTAAGCCCACAACAATTTCAAATGTTCAAAATTCAGTAGGTATAAACAAACCTAAGAAGTTAGAAACCTTTTGGGATATGTTTCTATATCAATACCTATTATTTAATTCTAAACCAACATTTTTAAGCCTGATTGTATTAATAATAATTTTTTGCTAGGTATTATAGTTATTTTATCATAATACAGTCTGACTTGGTTAACTCAAAGTTGAAGGGATTAGCCAAAAAGTTTGAGTTGTCCAAAAATTATACAATTATAGAAAATTTTAGGAACTGAAAAAAAGTATTGACAATTTTGGGTTAACCACGTTTGACTATAATAGGTACTTGTTAAATAATACATTTTTTTTATATATCTTGGCAAATATGGTACAAATTGCTGTAGATTTGTAGATTAATAACTTATTTTATTTTCAGATTAATTGTTAACTGTTTACATAATCAAAATGGAAATCGAACAGTTAGTTTACGAAACACTCCTGCAGGCGAGTAGTCAACATCCTGATATGTTAAAACCTGCTGAACAAAAACTTAAAGAATGGGAAGTGGAACCAGGATTTTATTCAGTGTTATTTGTAAGATATGATTTTTCTATGTCTTAAATAAATTTGACTATTCATAGGATAAGTACCTTCCACCTATAGTATACATGTTTATTGATTTTCAGAGAATATTTTCAAATCAATCATTGGATTTAAATGTCCGTTGGATGTCAATTCTATGTTTTAAACAAGGTGTAGAAAAATATTGGAGGAAAAACATTCAACAGTATGTACATACCATACCTAAAGCATTAAGTTTATTATTTAATAAATTTATAATCTTTTATAGTGGCATTTCCGAAGAAGAAAAAATTACTCTGAGAAAAATGTTATTAACAAATTTATCAGAACCTGTTCCTCGACTTGCAACCCAAGTTAGTGTGATTATTGGTAGAGTTGCAAGGTAATTATTTTTTCATAAATATCTTATTGATAAAAATTAAAGTAGGTACATCATCCAAGGAGGCGAATATATTTTGATTTGTAAATCAATAGTTACTGAAAGCGTATGCCTAAGAATTATTATGTCATATGATTATTCCGTTTGTTTTTCTTATTTTTTAATGAAAATGTTTTTGTAGTATTAAACATTATTTAAGATAACACACTTCCATAATTCAGTGCGGGATTTAGTGCTTTTATATATTAATTTAACTTTCAAAAATGAATTCTTTCCATTTTGTAGTTGTTTTTTTTAAATTGAAAAATACCAATTGATGTTGAAAGAGTGTAAAAATCCACCCATTTTAACAAGAACTTGACAATGTTTCGATACATTATTTGTATATGTACCCCCTCAAATTTTTGCTGCTTAAATTAGTCTACAATATTATAAAATCCAACTAACGTAACATTGGTTGGGTTAAAATTAATTTCAATTTCAATTGCGTGTGTACACATTCTGGACATTTGTCAAATAGTTTTACATTTTTCATAATAGGTATAAATCGTAAAAACTAAAAGTAGCTTTAATATTTATTAGGATTTGTATCTGCTATCTGCTGACTATATTATACTATATTATTTTATTATAATATTATACATGGTTTGATTTGACCTGAAACCGACAACTATAACTTGTAGACTGTAGTCTGAGTAATCAACAGTTGTTATTAGTTATAGTTACATATAGACTATAAATATAATTTTTGGTGGTTAGTGATTTGGTAATGACTCATTATTCCTATGTGAAAACTGAAAAGACCATTGCCAAACTCTATATTCTTTACAGTATACTTTTTCATAACTTACCTTAATTTTTCCTAACGTTCAAGTAAATTTTCAATTTACTTGGTGAAATGTCAGACATTTTGAAGTATCTAAAATTGTTTTTTGTCTTAGCTAAACTATATAGATGAAATTTTCACAGAATGTTAAGATTTGTATTTTCCATACTCCTTACAATTTTCAAAATATTTTGACTATCTTTATATTTTGAGTAATTTGTAGACATAAGGCAATTGTGAATTTAATTAGTTTTTTTAAAATCATGAAAATTGAATAAAAAAATTCTTAATAAGTTGTTATTATCGGAAATTTAAAAAAAGTTGAGTGTAAATCCACAATATTTTTGGTTTAAAACAGCTTTACAGACTTACAGAGCAGCCTTTAAAAAAAAAATTAGTTAGTGTCAATACAAGCTTTTTCAAGTGTTTGTGAAAATTTTTAATTTTTAATTTATAAATTTTTTAATGTACCTATCTAATTATTAGTGTATGTAGCTGGAATTTCGACAACAATTTTTTTTTAAAATTTTTGTAAATGAATATTGGGTGCTGTAAAATCATGATAAATTGTCAATAAATCTTCACATAGCAATTCAAAAAATGTAACGTACAGAAAGCTAATAAAGCTATATTTATATCTTAATACATAAAAATCACACAAACAACAAGTGTTCATGCAATACACTCCAAAACTTCTCAACCAATTTTGATAAGATTATGCTCAATGTGTGTGATTTGATCCAACTTAAAATATAGGATAGTTTTTATCTTGATAAGAAGCCCTTCATTTTTTTTATTGATTAATGATGGACATTTTTGCATATAAATGTTGCTATTGATTACAGCCTACAGATTACACTACTATAATAGTAATAGGATAATTAGTATTTATTGCTATTGGTTACTCAGGCAGAGAGGAGAGATATCAGGGAAATATTGAGTATAATTTGAATTATGTTCAATTTATATATCTGGTTCTATTTCCAGTCCAATTGGTAATTTTTTTTTCACTTCAACAAATTGATAAGTCTACCCATCTCCCCTCCCCCTCCCAGACCCTTGTAGGTATGTTAATTTGGTTGTAAAATGTTATATTTTTCAATTTTTAGGTTAGATTGGCCATATGATTGGGGAGATTTGATGCCAGAACTTATAGAACGTATTAAATACGATCCACAAAACCGTGCACTATTATCTATGCATCATGTGGTTAAATCACTAGCAGGCAAACGATTATATGATAGTATAAAACTCTTCCAAGATGCTTCCAGCCAACTATTCCCAAATTTTTATAGTCATTGGGAACAAAGAACAGATGCTTTTATTAAAGAGGTAAGTTCTATAAAATACATTTGTTATAATGTTTCATAAATTGAATACAATAATATGTTTCTTTTACATATAGATTGAGCATGGAAATGTATCACCACCAGTAGCTAAACTCTTGGAAGATGCATTTTATACTCAAAAAATACTGTCCAATTTTGTATTGTATGGTTTTAAATCTCCTTATCCTAGTGAAGTCAAACGATTTATTTTAGCTATTTTCAATAAAGTTCGTCCTATTATTGCTTGTCGTAAGTTAATACAATTTTCAAGTGCAATTGAACTGAAATTATAAATTATTTTTTATTTTTAGGTGCTTTCTATCCTGATTTAGTTGAAAAATTTGTATGCCGTATGTTTAAAATGCTAATGGCAATATTAGAAGATCATCCAGCGGAGTATCTGGATTTCATTCAACCAACTGTTGAACTGGCTTATTTTTATGGTTTTACTGCTGATGGAAACGCTGTTGTCTTTGAGAGATTCTTAATACAGCTTTTTAACTTAACAAAATTAATATTAATTTGTCCTCAGTATAAATTACCACGTACTAATGGCCCTATTTGTCAAATGGATGGTGAGCTATTTTATTTTTGAAAAAATAATTGTGATCATAGAACTGATTGAAAACTGAAACATAACCTCTTTAAAATTCAATATTATAAATGTACCTATTAGTTAAAAATATCAAATGATATTATGCAATTCTCAAACATTAGTTTAATGCATATTATAATGTCATACTACTGTATCAATATTTTCTAGCATAACTTTTATTCAATCAAATTTAGTTTTGTGACTTTAATATATAACATAATATAGTATATTTTAATATTGTTTTAGATAATGCTAAACGTGTATCAGCTTCAGCAGTTCAACATAAAGCTTCTGTATTCAAATCTGACAGATTAATGGTAATGTGTCAACAATTAATATATAAGTATTTTCTTCTAACACCAGCTGAATTAGAAATATGGGATAGTGATCCTGAAATGTTTGGTAAGTGGTTACTTTCAACCATTTATTGAAGTTAGTTAATTAATTGAGTGTACCATTTTTAATTAAATTCTTATTACTTATTTGTTATTACAGCTACTGATGAAGTAGGAGAATATTGGAAGTATAATTTAAAAGTAAATGCTTTTTTGGACATTTATTTAATAATTAATTAAATATAATTCATACAAATTAATTGTATTTTTAGGCGTGTACAGAATCATTATTTATGTCGTTATTCCATGAGTTCAGAGAACTGTTGACACCTAGACTGGCGGCAACCATTGAGTCAAATAGGGAGTTTGTTGACCCTAATAATTTAGAAGCAGTATTAAAAAAAGATGCCATTTATAATGCATTTGGACTTACTGCATTTGAGATGTTTGATATTGTAAGTAGTATAATAATATCTAAAAGTACCTATCAATGATAAATTTAGAAAATTTGTATGAACTCAGAATTTTATACAGAATTTATGATAACACTGCTTCGCACATTATTTGGCCTATTCTCTTATATTGCAGGTTCTGATATTATTTGCATTTGAACTATCAAATGATACTGTGTTGAAGTTAACTTAAATAAAAATAATTAATTACTTAATTTCATAGTTCTATATATTTTTTTTAACTTAACAATAATTAAAACATAGGTAATTTTTTTTGCACTTTTTTTATAAACAACAAAAACTAAAAGGTCACTTGACGTGATTGACAATGGTGGAAATCATAAGTGTATAAAAGCAATGAAGATAGAGGCTTGAATTAGCTAACACAATTTGCACTAAGATGAAATGCACAAATGTGCTCTTGTGTGATTCATTGCTCAGATATATATTATTTTTTAGTGGAGCTTAACCAAAAGAAATTTGACTTCTTTGTTGATTTTAATAATTGATTGTTTGTGTTAGATCAATTTCGATGATTGGTTTAATACCACATTACGCCAAGAGTTAATGGAATCTCATGGTCATTCACGTGTATTGAAGAGACGTGTGGCATGGTTGATTGGTCAATGGCTTACAGTTAGATTGAACCCAGAATACAGACCTGAACTATACAATATTCTTATTGGACTTTTAAATCCTGAACAAGATATGGCCGTTCGTTTAGCTGCAACGTCCACTTTGCGTTGTGCAATTGATGACTTTGATTTTAGTTCTGAGCATTTTATTGAATACTTGGAACCAATGGCATTCTCGTTGTATAAACTTTTAGTTAGTGTCCGAGAGTGTGACACAAAGGTATTAAAATGTCTTTATTATAATTTAAATTTTTAAACCCTATTCAAACACATGTGTATAATATATATTTTATTCATTCTGTGTTATGTTAATGTTTCAGTTAAATGTGCTACATGTCATGTCGTTTATGGTGGAGCGATTAGGTCCTATGGTAGAACCTTATTTTGATTCTTTACTTCAGTACTTGCCAAAATTATGGACTGATTCAGATGACCATCATATGCTACGCTGTGCAATTATTTCCACATTGACACAAATTGTACGAGTAAGTATTATTTATTGATTAACTTGATAACTATATTATTTAATTTGTCTTGCTAAAAAAATAAAGACAAAAACTGGTTAGGTTAGTTGGGTTAATTTTTCTCACAACGCTTTCTTTTATTCCAATCTAGTGTTAGTGCTTCTGTTAATTATTCATTTAAGCCTAAAGTGTACATGTATAATACTGTGTTCTCAAAAGAGTATAATTTAGTGTAAACGGCTATATTTTATATGTAATTTTAAAAATTTAGGCCATTCGAACAAAAAGTGCTGAACTGACACCATTCCTAGTTCCTATTATAAGATATAGTGTAGACATTAAAGAAAAAGCATACATTTATTTACAAGAAGATGGTCTTGAACTGTTATTATCTTACATTGAATCGTGTACAACATATAATGATGACATGCTAAGTTTAATCAATTATCTTCTTCCATTACTAGGTAAGCATGGCGTTAGAGTTTTTTCTATTTAAATTAATTTTATTATTAATGGTTTTTTAAATAACAGATTACTCTACGGAACATCTAAAAACTGGCCTAATGATACTTGAAGCATATGTTCTAATTGCTCCAGATAAGGTCATATCGGTAAGTATTATTTTTTGTGATCCAAGAATAATGTTAATAAATATATGAATTAAATAATATTGAATAATAAATACTAAACTATTACATAGTTTATTAAAAATGTTAAATTTGTGCATGCCTTAATAAATTATTAACATTTATTCAATTATATTATTTTCACTATCTATTTTTTTTAGTTTATTTTTTTAAGTAATTTATTTTATATTTTAAAAGTAATATCAATAGTTTTACGAATTATATATTTTTTTAACATTTGAAATTTTTTTTAGGAATATGGTACTCAATTATTTAACTTAACTACATCTTTAATGAATGATTTAAAAGATGAAGGAATTGTTTGTATATTATCATTGTATGAAACAATTATAAAAGTAAATTTACCACAAACTATTGAGTTAATGATGGTTGTTTTAGGACAAAACTTAAAGTAAGAATTATTAATTAACATTTTAAGGCATACTGAAAAAATATAAATAATGCTTTTAGATAAATTTAATAAAAAAACTTATTAAGGTTTATAAAAATGTGCTTGATTTTTCAGGTGTTTATGTTCCGGTGAAATAGGTTTGGCCGTAAACAGTTGCCGGTTATCTATAATTTCTAGAGTTATATTAAATGATTCAAGTATTTTTATTAAAGTAAATAATTTTTAATTTTGATTTATCTACAATTTATTTTAAATGGTTAATTGTTTGTAGGTTGTAGAACATTTATGTATGACCGAAAATGGAAATTTAATGAATTTTGATAATGTACTTAATAGAATAATTGAAGTTTGGTTAGAACGAATGAATCAAATTGTACAAAACGATAAAAGAAAATTATTAGGTCTCGCTTTAGCATCACTTTTAACTTGTCAAAAAAAGTAAGTTATTAATTTGTTTGTTTCAATTTATTGTTCATAATATTATATATTTTTTATTTTGTTTTAGACCAATTTTAGAATTATTTAAAGAAATCATAACTGTGTGTGTAGAAACTTTAAATGACATAATGAGGAAGACTGACGATGGAATTTATGCAGAGTGAGTAGATTATTAATGTTGTAATTTTCTGTACATCAAAATATTATTAATATAGTTTGTTAGTATAAAACACAATTTTTGTTAAATCACTTGTTCATATATTATATTAGCTTTAATTGTTTGTTTTAATAGTTCCATGCTAATGACTGACGATTGCTCCAATGTAAGCTCACGAGCAAATTCCGAGTGCGAATATCAGTATGAAACAGAACACAATGAACGTCAAAGATGCCTGTCGCTCAAAGATCCTGTTCACTGCATACCATTCCATAAATATCTACAATCTCAAGTAAATAGACTTTTTCACACTCATTTATACTTATTGATGTTAGTGAAACAGATTATTATTAAATTACTTATAATAACTTTTGATTGCTTCACAGTTGTTGGCTTTGCAAAATCAAATTGGAGAACAGCAATTCCAAGGTGTTCTGATATCTAAGGTAGACAGTGATATACTTGAACAACTCTACTTGTACATGTAATGTGTAGAAGATAAATGCTCCATTCTGCTTAAAAATTGCCTTTTTTATATAATAATTATGTTATATAATACAATCTCTAACATAACTGTGGGGTGGAAAGTGTAGTTTCATGTAACATAACCCAGTTTTGAAATATTTGAAAGATACGTTATTGTTGAATTCTGTTTTTCCACGAATATTATATTTTTTAAAGATTTTTTACTCACAGCTAATGTGTTGGATCAGTGGTATATCATGTTACATAGTTACTATATAAATATTTCAGTATCTGATTACTTGATTAAGCATATCACATACGCCACTACAATTTTACATTTTTAGTAGTTTGCCATTGACCCAATGAGAATAATATACAATACTAGTCATTAATGAATAGTATGAAAGTTGATTAATTATAATTATTATACTATTGATGGTTACAACAACTGTACACTTTTAAAGTCTGCTACTGTTTGCACATATCTTTTTGTTTTGCAATATTTGTTCACTGAAATGGTTTCATCGATAACGTGTAGTTGAACCAGTACAAATATCACCTTAGTAAATATTACATTTGCTTAGTTTCTAATATTATTATTACTGTTATTATATCGGTTACCAATACGTTATTCTGTTCAACAGCGTTCGTTGGACAGAAAAAAATGCTAGAAATTATCTGATTAATTCTGTACGTCAATACGTAATAACATTTTGTCTTGTGTTAATTCTTGATTTTAAGTGGGCAATTTGTTGCTGTTAAATATGTTATTCAAGTTGTTCTTTCTTTGTATTATTATAAAAAATAATAATGCATGTATGTATGTATAAGTATATAAGTATATTATAATAATTATACTGTTAATGATTTTATTTTTATGTTTTCTCAAATTTGGACTTTCAATGAAACAATTTTTATAGACTCGTGTAATTAAAATTTTTTATTAACATTTGTATGACAACATATTTTAAATAATTTTATGAGACAACATCAAATTAAAAACAAATATATAATATTCAATGAAATAATAAATTTAAATTATTAGTATGTCTATTGTTTTATATGCTAGTTAACACATTATTGTGACTTTTGTAGTTGTATGTTGAGTACTTCCTTATTACTTTCCTATTCATACACCCTCAAAATTATAAAATTGTGTCCAATAGTATAATTATTATTAGTTCAATGTCAATTAAATATATTGTTTTAATAGCAGCAGAACGATCAATAATTGAACTGTTGTAAGAGTAAATTGACCTATTAATTATTATAAAGCTTTTAGAACATTATCAATGTTCTTGTTGGTTTTTACAATATTATAATTTTTTAGTGAAATATGAACATTCCCATAAATGAATACTTTACTTACTCATAACTCACTTAAAAATTTAAATATTGTTTTTAACCAACACTAAAACACAAAAGTAAGAACATAAAGTTTGATAATGGTCAATTGACTCTCATATCAAAACTAACAGTGCGCTATTGAAACTAGTGAACAAAAATTTGCTATATCGTACGTAAGACGATGACAAAACATGTCAGTGCGACATCCTCTTAAAAGAACTAAACATGGCGTAATCAGTACAAAATATTCAGATAATTTTTAAGAAAAATTATTTTTAATTTTAAAAAGAGTATTAGATTTTTTGCGCTAGAGGCAACATGCATCACCACGCCGGCAGCTGGTCTCGCTTGCCGCATTAGTTGTTGCACATAAAAAGTTATGTCAAAATGAAAATAACATATTACTATTAATTCATTAATCTATAAAATAGTTTCAAAGTGAAATGAATACTTGTATAATTTTCCAAGTTTCAACAATGAAAATCATAAGCTGCTACAATCAAATGTATGTATAAAACTGTTTGATTACCATGTGCTATGTAACAAAGATTATTCTCAGGTAAATTAGGTAATTAATAAAGACAATAGTAATTATAATTTGAAGAAAAAACATTACAATTTATTGAAATACATATTTAAAAGTAGTATTTAACACATTAAGTTTATTATGAGGTTACAATGTTTGCATTTTACATGTAAAAAAAAAAAAATACATAAATGTAATTCATTAAATAATTTGGATGTTGTAAAATTAGTTAGGAATGAATATGAGTTCTACATAATTAAATACAACAATTGTAATATTTTTCAAAAAATGATTTATTTTGATCCCACTTTCTAATTTCACCAAAAAATTGATACCATGAACAGTTATCATTTTATAATTTTACAAAATGCCATTTATCAACTGCAACAGAAATAGTAACAACATAAATGTAAGACTAAATAAAATGATTTAATTGAGCTGCAAAACTACAATTTAAAGGTCATGCCCTTAAATCTAATGCAGAACCATACGATATCAACTGTAAAAACCATTGAGATATTAAGTAATAATAATTAATTATTATTCTAATGAATAAAATCCTAATATTTATAAAAACCAAGTAATAAATAATTTATTAAGGATATATTATATATATATTTTATTTTCAGAGTTAAAGCTCACATTTGTGAAATAAATTAGTGTTCCAAAATAAATGTTATCAATGATAAACTAACACAGTTTATGTACAAAATGACTGAAGAAATTTCTAGCTAGATTTTTGGCTTGCCAAATGTGTTTATTTTCAAATTAAAAATGTGACATTATTATTGTCTACACTAAAAACATGGAATTATACTAATATATGGCCTACAATATACAATTTGGGATTTAGTGACCCACCAAAGATTAAATTAAATTCTAAGGTGTTATGACTAATGCCTTTCAGTGATCATTGATTATCAGCTAAGGAATAGTTTTTCATATTTTCAATGTTTTTTCAAATATCTTTTAATGGGAAAAATAAAATGTAATATGGGTAAGTTTTGCCTAGTAACAATCAACCATAATTCAAATACAGATAATATCCAACCAAATCGTAATTAGGTAAGTGAATTGTCAATGAGTTTTTTGATTAAGTTAGATAAAAAACATTTTGTTGTTGTTGAAGGGCCGCACTCGGCAGGGTTCGACCGATCCTCACAATCAAAAATTAAGTCCCTGAAGTGCGATAACACTTGTACAATATTGAATGTCTATAATCCGCTTTAAAATACAAGGCACAACACCATAGATGTTTCTATATAATTTAGTTTAAGTGGGTATCATTCCATTAATAATATAGATTTATGTATTATATGATTTATACTAGGGATGGGCCGATATCGGTTTTTTTTCAAAACCGATATTTCAACTGATACCAAAAAAAATCTTATCGATCAGCATAGTATTGATAGTATCATAATTCACAAATGCACAGGTTAGGTTATCAATAATCAAATACTATAGATTATTTTATAATAATCAATGATTTCAATTTTCTAGGTAATATTATTTGTGTTATCAGGTATCGGTTATATTAAATATCGGTTTAATGGTGGTATCGGCTCATGTTTTTTTTGTCAAAAATGTTGTTTTAACATTTCCATATATTATCGGGTATCGGTTTTATATCGGCAGCATATATCGCAATATCGGATATCGGTAATAAGTGGTATCGGCCCATCCCTAATTTATAGGTACACATTATGAGATAACTTTTTACTATATCAAAATCATACTATGTCATTGAGAATAATATCGACTTGATTTTTACATAATTTAAATTACCTTCTGGTGATAATGGGCTAGGTTCGGATAGTGGCAAAATCTCCGACAATATTGCTTGAACTTTTTCATTATCAATACTAGAAGCATTATTCAATGACGTGTTCACACTAAAATCAATCATAGTCAACAATAGTAACAAAAATATACCATTGAAAAAATAGTTTGTAAATAACATTTCCCTACCAGGATAAACCGTCAGTGTTCTCTTTTTGTATTAAGGCCTTCCAGTATTCATGCGTATCACTGACTATTTTCAGAGCAAATTCGGCATCTTTGGGTTCACCATTAAAAGCAAATTTATTCTCAGGTTTACCATCTGGAATTTTGTAGATTTTCAACCATTCAACAGTGGCTTTTAGTAGCCCGGGAAAATGTTTTTCAATGTCCTTGATGTCTAGAAATAAAATTATAACATTATAAAAAATTAGCAGAATAGTAGAATTAGATCAAACAAACAATAAATGTTTAAAAAATGGATAAGGTAGGGCTGGTGGTATATACAATCAAGATACCTGTATCTAGTATTTGTCTAATGACGTTATTACTTACTACCAGTTATATGGTACTTTCAGTGAATCTAGAAAAATCTTTCCAAACCATGGAAATATGATATTTATTTTAAAAATAATGTTGACTTAATACTGCCAGCACTAAGATAAGGTATTAAATTATAATTAAATTAGTATAGTTACCATTGACTTCAGGTGCAATTGGATCTTCTACATTTATCACTAAAACCTTCCAATCAGTTTCGCCTGGAAGTTAATCATATTTATCATTATACATTTATACCATACATTTTTAAGAGGACGCCAGGTTAGGTTAAATACTATAACCTGGTATTTAACCCGCATTCTTTGTTTGTAAGACGGAGACAAGGCATGCGGATTCGTTATTAAATTATAATTACATATTTTATAATTAATAAACAACCTATATTCGTGATACTAGACACAATAAAAATGTGTGATAAAAGTTAACATGTAGTGAGGTTTTGTTGAAAGAAGCCACCCATTGATAACACTTTTTATAATTACATATAAATTTATAATGTAGGATGACCATAATCTACTTTTAAATAATTTCTATAATAAATCATTGAATATGGACACAGAATAGTTCTTTGAATGTGTAATAAAAATTATAATACTTGCCCTCATCAATCAATGCGACAGTACCCAATACCTTTACTTTCAGTACTTCTCCTCGTTTTGCTACCTTATAAATAAACAAACATTTTAAACATGATTTATAAATGTTTGAAAATTAAGTCTGTAGCATACTTTGTACCCAATTTCAAGAACATCTAAGGGATCATTGTCTCCCTTACACCCTGTATGTTCGTCTAGCAATTCAGGATTTTCCCAAGTTTGAGGCAAGGCACCATAATTCCATATGTAGCCTTTGTGTGGGAACACATTTGGTACAAAACGTAATTTACCTTTTTTTGTGTCTTGAATGATGGGGTTTAGAGGAGATTTTGTATTAATCTAAAAAAAAATTGACTTTGTAAACAATTTCTTAGTACGATTAATTGGAAATCTAACCTCCATTTTCGCATTTGTCCATCTAGGTATTTCTACCACCATATTGAAAACTTTGCCAGTGTTATCAGCCAGCAATGGAATATCGTGGAATGGTGAAACTATTCCGTTTTCATTTTCTATAAAAAAAATTAAACTTATGAAGTTATGAACATTCGGTACTTTAAATGTGAAGTTTCCCTTCACATTAATATTATATTAAATTAAATTTACCTATAAGTAACACATATTTTATAACTTAATTTAAGGTAGCTGGAGCGTGACATGTTTTAAGGACTAATATTAAAGCATTTCGTATACCAATTATATTTGAGCTGTGTGACTGTGCGAGAAGTAAATGAATTTTAGTGAGTGTAATCCTTAAATTTGTTATCGAGTACTGAGCACCGACAGCTCACCCCCTGCATAAAAGTTTTCACACGCTCATACACATGACAATGTTCCAGATTTTATCAAATATACGCCATACTATTCAAACGACAATATGCCAAAAAGCTAGACAAAATTGAAGGACTTGAATTTTCCAGATTTTAATTAGTTATTGTGTTGGTTAGGGAATGGCCAAGAGAATTTTAATCATTCAAATTTTTTCGATAAAATATCGATAATTTAACAAATAAGAATTTTGGTATTATATATATTTTAGTAAGCCTTTAATTTTTGTATTAATAATAAATTTCCACAGCCATGCTTTAGTAGAGTTGTTGAAGATTTTTAATTAGTTTTCAAAATTAAAATCTATCAAGTCCAAGTTCAACAGTTTTGTCTCGCATTTGGCCTGTTTTACGTGATCAATTGTACCTGATCTAGCTGCCTTAACAATGAACATTTATACATTTATCAATTGGTAAGTATCCTAAAACTGTAGTATATTTTTCTAAATTATTATGTTTGAAAAATAAATTAATATTATTTTTTTTTCTACTGTTAAGACCTAGTTTAGTTTAACAACAATTGAACAGTCTGTTGTTTGTAATGATTAAGAACTGTTGGGGTAGTAGGGAACCTGTTACCTTTTTATAATCTAAAAATATTAATAATATAGAATAATATATTTTCATAATGAATGTTTAAGGAATTTGAATTGATATCATTAGTAATCATTTAATAGGCTATTTTAAGATACCAATCACCTAGTACCTACTGAATGTTTTTTCTTAACCTACAACACCGTGAATAAATTTGAATGCAATCCATTTTCAAACATACTTAATATGTCTCAAGCCTCAGGTATAATATAAAAATAATTAATAATATAAAATATATTTAATTATATTGTGCCAATGACATCTCTTATGTACACGATTCAACGTCAGGCGGAAATCTTCCATAAATACCTACTAAATAACTAGAAATGGCAGAGGTCACCATAAAAGATGACCTTGAATGTTGGACGATTAAAATCAAAAATTCACAATAATCGTGGTAAACAACCAATAAGGCTTACAATAACACACATAAGACATCGGCGGTCAATTATTAGTACAAGCATTTTGCCTCACACAATTTCAATGTCGACTTACTTATGTACAATTTATAGTCAATTGTGTTGGGCGAACCTCTCTCTTCGATCTGGTACGTCATTTTGCTGTATTTCCTGTTGGCCGTGTGGCGAATCGCTGTCGAAGTACAAAGTGGACTGACTTTTCGGTAGCCGCTATGTTGGCGGTACACGGATTGCCGGATAATCCTTTGGACAGCTATTCCGAAAATCATGATTCCCGAATCTTATCAGCGGTGCTCTGCAAGTGGCAACAATTGCCCGTGAAAAAAACTCGTTGATTTCGATCGGCGTGCGTCTATTCTCCTTGGTCGCAGTTTTGCCGCCAAAACAACAATACGTTCGATCAAATTTGAAATTATATCATTTTATTCTGTGGTTGAATGTTGTATAAATAGGTCAACGTGTACCACAGAATAGATTGAATTAACATTGTTTTTAGATTTAATCAATTCTGTGCCTATGCAGTGTTGTAGGATCGGTATAGTTTAACTGACAGTCACGGCGGACCATCCGAAGTGTTCGCTGTAGTCGACTTGTAGACAAGTTTTAGTATTTTTTGTTTAGTGGTTTAGTCAACGTGGTGTTTTTCAACTCACGTATGTATTTATTTAATTAAAATATAATATTTTTATGAAAAAAAAGAAATCATTATTGATGCTCACCGTGAATTACGCATGATACTGGTACACATATTGGTGCATGGTACATAGGTATATTATATAGGTACATCATTTAAAACATACGCAATTTTCACAAATGTTATTTCCAAAATAGGAATATACATAAATTAAAAAAATCAAAATATAAAGTATCCTAGTTAGAACCGTAGTAGTTTATTTAGGTACCTACTAAATAGAGGGTAATATTTCCGCCTATAAGACGGTATTCACAAATGCCATACTGGTCGTGGTAGGCATGCTGCCTCTAAAATTACAGGTGTCAGAAAGAAGCGCAATACACGTGGCAAAGCAGACGAATTCTGCTCTTCCTCTAAAGAACGAGCTTAGGGAAGATTCAATAAGCAAGTGGCAGAGTGACTGGCAAAATTCAGCTACGGGAAGATGGACTAAGAGATTAATTCCTGATCTCCGGCCTTGGATCCTAAGAAAGTCGGGTACAGTGAATTATCATATCACCCAACTCCTCACGGGCCATGGTTGTTATGGTGATTATTTATGCATGTTCAAGAGATGAGATACATATAACATATCTTCGTGTGTCATAATGATGCCACAGAGCACGCGTTTTTCCTGTGCGACCGCTGGTGGAGACTACGCAGAGAACTGGAGGTGAAAACTGAAGTGAAATTCTTTTCTGAAACGGCGGTGTATACAATGCTGGAAAGCGAAGAAAAATGGGATGCAGTGTGCTGATTTATTGTTCATGTCTTGAGAAACAGAGAGGAGGAAGAGCGACAACGGCAACGTCAACCGCAGCAACCTTAAGTAGTTAAGTTTTTATATTGTGGCCCAAAAGACAAATGGAGGGCATAGAGCCCCTTATTATTTGTAAAACTGTTATTGCGAGGACTAGTGAGTGGGAGACTGGGCCATCACTGTCCATTTGTTTTCTTTTGTAGTTTGTTTTTGAATAAACGGCTTTTCGGTCATTCGGGGGTAGGATTACCGAGAGGCAAATTTGCCCCCCTAGTGGCTACGAATTACGATGGGCGGGACTATTTTCGCTCAAAAATAACCTTTCGCTTTTTGCTTAAATATTTTAAAACTACCTACTTTCCCTTTTCGCCCAAGAATATTATAGTACTTTTTGATCACATTTTTAAAATACACAATTTTGGAAACACTTACTTGAAGCCATTTAGCATTACTACACGGTGAGTCCCACGAGGAGGCAGCTTTTATTACTCTCTAAAAATGTATTGTGTATCTTTTGCATTTAATGAATTTAAATGTACATTCAAATAATTCTTATAACATTTATAAGGTCGTTAAAAAATTGCTTATAACATTGTATTTATAATTCTGTCAATTATAAAAGAGAATGGATTTGTGTTAAGAATACTTTAAGCTCAACAAAAAATTAATATAAAAAATATAAATCGTTAAAATATAATTATTAAATTTATAATTTATAATAATTAAATGCCATAGATTTAATAAAATCATACCGATTGATCGTTCCTGTTTTATATTGTTGTATTGTTTGCTCATTTTTCATTGTCGATCTATGCTTTTTTTATCTTTGGTACAAGTTTGTAAATGAACATTGTTTAGTTTAATGTAGACCTCAGTTCGAATTTCATTTATAACACTCAACCAGGCACAGACCATTGTAGACACATACTTTACATGAATAATTTTAAGTAAGTGTTTCCCGAATTCTGTACTATAAAAATGTGATCAAAAAGTACTATAATATTCTTGGGCAAAAAAGGAAAGGTCATTTCTGGGCGAACATGGTCTTGCCCGGCCACGGGAGTACATGCCAAAAAAAAAGTTTATTTAGGTACGTGACGTACCTATGTCTATGATGCCTATGATGTTTGTTACAAAAACATTTGTTTGGAATAGTATGTTGAATACAATCCTCTTGTTCAAATTATATTAACTCCAATGAAGATTTGTTCCAAAAACTATTGGAAATAGTAAAATAAGTATATAAGGATAAGTATAGGTACTATATCCTTATAAATATTATAACTCTATTGGAACGAATAGCTGTGGAATATGAAGTACAACCCTTATTAATTATATCATAATATTATCGTTCATCAGTCCTTATTAGTAAAATGTCAAATGACCAGGTTTCCAAACTTTTCGAACATTCTGCATATTTCAGTTTGTGGTTATAATAAATAGTGATAAATATAACTATCTCCTTGTTTAACTATGTCTGAAACAATTATTTAGTTAGTTACCTATTCTGTTGCGATTTAGGCATTAAACAATTTTTTTTTTTTACTTATTTTATTATTTTATTGAAATCAGTCAAATTGATGATAAGCAAAATTTTCTTCATGCTTGCTGCTCAGTACTATTACATACTTCCATTCCCCTTAACCTTAATCTTGAAGAATATTTAAAACTTTGAAAAAACCTTAATTAAGGGTAAAAATAGGAGCATACTTAATGAATCAACACAAAACACATAGTTAACAATAACGTAAAAGTTTTGGACAAAGTCGAATTGGTTTCATATAAAATTATATTTTTAGTCATTGCTGCCTATAGTTTATTTTGTTAGTTAGGAAAAAATAAAAAAATAGTTTCATACGTTTGAAGTTTAAACATAATCTACATACACAAAATAATATAAATTGAGTTTTATTATACACAAATAAATTGTAATTTATTGATATTTGATCGTCCAAACAATTTAAATACAACAAATACAATGCAGTAAGTACCTCCATACAAATAACATTCAAACGCATATTATATTTGTCGACTATTTATGTATTAAAAGGCTCCGAATTACAAGGGTAAGTGTTTTTGTTCAAATAATTAACTATTTAGCTATTAGTATTTCTGAGAGCATTGTCTTTCCATATTTACAAAGTTTAACAATTAGTATTTGGGTATCTGTGTAGAAATTGTCAATTCTACATAGTGTTCACATTTTTTGTGCTAATAAAATGTACATTTAATGATAATAGATAACTAATCTTATAATCTATACCTATCACGGCCATAAATAATAAAATACATAAATGAATAATTTTATTATCTATATACATAATTATGGCAGAAAATCTTATTGAATTGTGACTGGTACAATATGAAATTCAGCTGAACATTTTTAAGATAATAAGTTGTACAATATACAAAATATATATACTAATAAAATAAAATATAAAAGATGTATTTTACAACTTATAGAGTACCACTGAATGTGGATTGAAAGTAGGGCACATAAAATGTTCATATTAATTGGGATAATAAAAATAAACACATGTTTAGAAGTAGTAACATTGAAAGATATTTTTCTAATAAGTAAAAACCAGCCACTAGCCCAAATAGAGAATACCTCAAATGTATCTCAGACTATAACCCTTACACGTTGTCCCTAAACCGGTAGAATTGTCTAATACACAATCTCTAAGCGTGTGGATGGTGGAAACTTTTTGAACTTGTTGAAGTCTCATTGGTAGTTGTTGCTGAAGGTGTTGGATCCTCATTAGAGGGTATATCACTAGCGGATTTACGCTGTTCAGACCACATTTCACCATACAGGCCATTTCTTATTATGAGATCATCATGCCTACAGAACATAACATTTAAATTTTCAACAGATATAATGCTAAGAGCTTGATTTCAAAAAAATTGCAAATTAAAGAAAAAGACACATGGATTTACCTTCCTCTCTCATATATTTCTCCATCTTTTAGTACTAATATTTCATCAGCATGTATAACAGTTGACAGCCTATGTGCAACAATTATTGTGGTGCGATTAGCACAGACTTGATCCAACGCCGCCTTAAACGATTTTAAAATGATTAACACAGGTATTTAAAACCATAATATTATCATCGATAAAATGTTAGTATTTACTTGAATCTGTCTTTCTGTTTTAGTATCCAATGCACTTGTGGCTTCGTCCAGTAAAACAATGGCAGGCGCTTTAAGTAAAGTTCTGGCAATAGCAACTCTTTGTTTTTCTCCCCCACTAAGTTTCAATCCTCTTTCACCAACCTAGAAAATGATTGACATTAAAACGTTTGACTATAAGTTAAATAAACAAAACACACTTGTGTATTGTATTGATCTGGGAATTTCATAATTCTGTCATGTATTTCGGCTGCCATTGCAGAATTCATTATTTCCGAATCATTAGATTCAACTTTTCCATAACTTATGTTAAATCTAATAAATAATTTTAGTTAAAATTTTGTTTTTATCAAGAGTTTTTTTTTATCATACTTAATGCTATTGTTGAACAAAACAGTGTCTTGCGGAACAACACCAATAGCTTTTCTAAGTGAATTCTGTGTAACTAGTTGTATATTCTGGTCATCAATAATGATAGATCCTGAATCCACATCAAAAAATCTAAACAACAGTCTCACAATAGTTGTTTTTCCACTACCCGATGGACCGACCAATGCCAACGTCTTGCCCGGTTGAACCACAAATGAAATATTTTGTAACACTATTCTATCAGGTTGATAAGAAAATGTTACATTGCGGAATTCCACTTGTCCATTTTTCAACACCAAGTCTTTTGCATCAGGTACATCACTAACATCTGGTACTATATTCATCAAATCAAACATATTTTCCATGTCAATGAAGTTCTTCTGAATTGCTCTATTTAAAATGATTTAATATTCATATATTATGCATATTATTTTAATATTTTAGTTGACTTTAAGTAGATGTCATACCCACATGTTTTGTATCAGTCCTACAATATTTTACAACAGCCAATTTGAGTTATCAAATCCAATTTGTTATTAACTTTAATACTACAAAAAATTAACATATAATCAAATCAGAAGGTAAGAAACAGTATTTGTGTTTGTACATTGGTTTTTTTAGAATATTTTAATTTTCAAGCAAGCAAGGAGTATGTAAAATAATACAATTTAAAAATATTCATTGCTCATTTAAAAATTCAAATATTGTAAGAAAAAACAAACACAGCTGATGTTTCTTATTTTCAAGTTCTGCTGAACTGAAATTGTCTGTTGAACGATTTGTAGGACTGTGACAAAACATGTAGGTGGGGTGTCATCTTAATATATCTTAATTTGTTTAATACCTGTAAAATGTCCCAAAATAATTTAGTGGTCCATACAATTGGATGATGTACACAGTGAATAGAACATAATCACCTACTGTTAACTCTTTAAGATCAACAACAAAATGAACACTGAGCAATGATCCAGCTAACAATCCTATACATACAATTAAATTTTGAACAGTGTTGAGAATAGCCAAAGATACTTGCGTTTTAAACTCTTCATGCTAAACAAAATAAATAAATATGTGTTTTAAATTAATTAAATTGAAGGGTTTAAAAAAAAAATTCCATTCATTTTACTTGATAATCCATTATTGCATCTTTATAGGCTTTAACTTCATATTCTTCAGCACCATAGTACTTCACTGTTTCAAAATTCAACATAGAATCAACACTACGAGCTTCCATATTGTTATCTGCTATATTCATTCGACGTTGAAATTTTGTTCTCCATTCTGTTATGGTAATTGTCAAAGCTAAAAATTCCAAACCCCCCAAAAAAATAAAATAATAATTGATGCATGACCAATGCTACACATCGTAACTTTGTAGAACAAACAATATAAACTCAATGTAATTATTAGTGTAAATTATCCTTTAGTATTATAAATAATTGTTAATGACCTTAAACCTAATATTATAGAAAATTCTGCAAAATTAGAACGGCGCAACTGGTAATGAAAATAACGATTTTAAATTTATGAGTGTTCATATTTTATATAAAGTTTATGTTTTTCTTGAAAAACTTGAAAATTGCTGTGAAAAATTCACATTTAAATGTTGACCTCCCAAACTGCCCAATTAGATTCACATTCCTACCCAAAGATTCTTAAGTAAAAAATCAGAGCATTTTTACTGTTCCAAAAAGTAACGACAAACCAAAAAAAAAATACACAATAAATGATTTATTGAGTAGCATTAAGATTTTGGATTCTGATAAATGTATAGATTTTACAATGATGTATCTGTTGTTTTTTTTATTTATTTTTAAGTCTGAAAATAATTTTTATAGTCGAAAAATGCTCAGATTATCAACTTAATTTTTTTAAATATTAGCCATGATATTATTTATTTAATTTGAATGTATTAATAATCAATTTTATAATTGAACTTTAAATATTTGCCATTTTAGAGTTCTGCCTTGTATGATGACAATTGAAGGCATAGTTAATTTCAAAAAATGTTTACTTAATAAATGTGATATAAGTTTTCTAGGGAAAAAATTGACCAAAAACATAAAAAAGTCATAGGTTTAATGGTTATATTATGTAAAGGGCTAGGATTTATATGTAAATACATATTTTCAGTATGACATAAACTAATTTCGGCAAGTAGATTCAATTCACAGGATTTTTAATAAAATGAGTTATACTTGATTTTACATATTTTGTCATAAATACATGTTTTTACATATTTCACAATTATTCAATTTTTTCTCACATATTTAGACAATTTTACTGTTTCAACATGTTTCCTCGGAGTGATTTTTGATAGAAAGCTTATCATAAGTAAGCCCATACTGAACAGTGTACAAATTGTCTAGTACAATATCGTCAATTTGGTGATGTCGACCGGACGTATTTTTTATGTGGGTATAAGTGTAAACATGGTATAAAGCAATTTTACGACAGAATTAGTGATTTTTTAAATTTAAAAATTTGAAAGCCCATGTTATCACAAAATGCAATCAAGATAATTAGATGAATAATCATTTATTTTTATTAAATTTCATTGTATTAAGGATTTATTATTAATATTTTTTTGATAATCATATTTTGAACTGCTTAGCACACATTTATGTACATAGTTTTGTTGTGTAAATACATACTTTAGTTATATAAATACAAATAAATCCGACCTCTAATTATATACTCTAGAACCTAACCTAGAAAAAGTGGTGGATGTTCAATATTTAATTCCTCTATATATGCCTTCCATTTAACCTTTTTTTAAATCTTGTTTTAACTAATAACTACCCACAAAAAGTACCTATAAGCCAAGGGTATATTTAATATTTTGTCTTAAATTCATACTAAATAGTCACACCATTAACGGCTAATAAAAATGGATTTAATTGTTGGACATTTTTTTCTCAGTGTCATTTAAATATTACTCATATTATTGAATGTAAAATAATTTTACCTATATACAAAACCATTGTAATAAAAACCACAGTTCCCATCATCCAATTGAAATATGATAGGAAAAATATAACAGCTACAATGATGTCAATTATGGTAGGTCCAATACTAAAAAGTAAAAATGACAACAAACTATTTGTCGAGTCTGTTCCACGGTCCATAATTCTCAATACTTCACCAGTTTTACGGCTCAAATGCCATCTCAAACTTAAGTTATGTAAATGACGGAATAGTGATACCTAAGTACATATTTTAAAATATATTAATTGGTACAGTTAATATATTTTTACCTTATAGAGAATTAAAGAAAACTCACTTCAACTTCCCGTTTAGTATATTGTTGTACTCTAATCCATAGATAACTTCTTAGGTTATTCAAGAAACCCATTCCAAGACCTCCTTGTAAAAATTTGATACCAATATAGATAAAAATTAAATCCCAACGAAAAACAAGAGGAGTAGCAGTTAAGCTGTCGACTAAGAATAAAATCAATTATTAGTTTAATATGCTTTTTATATTATTAAAGGAACATAAAAAGATTAAAACAAAAATTAAATACCAATTTTTGCACTGTAAAGAGGAACATACACATTGGCTACTCTTCCAGCAATTACCAACATAATACAAGCAACTACTCTTAGTTGTAAAGCCACACTCTTTTTTGGCCATATGAAAGGTGCTATCATTTTTACTTTTCGAATCATATTGTTCCATGTTGAGGTTTCTTCCACTCGATCAGACTAAAAAATTATAACAGTTCAATATTATTTCTATACAAGTATAAAATATTGACGGTAAAAATACAGGAACTAAAAAAGGTCTTGAATGATACATTTGTGAATCACATTTAAACAATACAGTCAGTATTCTGTAAACAAAAATAAGCAAAAGCCAAAAATAAAAATATATCTATAATACTGCACATATTATCTGTTATATTACAATACAAATGAAAGTGAAGTAGGTATAATTGTAATTTATGATATATTTTGTTTTTTTTATGCCATAGACACTTCACATAGATAACACATAATAACCAACATCGAAAAACTAAATTTATACAATATGACGTATTAATAATAATAATTTATTATTATATAAAGAATATTTTGATGGATGGAGACCACCAAAACTACAATCCTTCGTATCAAGATCCAAAAAGCCACCAGTGTCAATGGGGTTGCCTAGCATTAGTTTTATAATTGGTTATATTTTGAAATATAGCAACTAGGATTTTCCATTCTACTAATGCTTCTATGTACTACTTCTAGCATTGGTGGGCAAAAAAAACTTTGGCTTAAATTGTACTACAATCAAAGTAGACAATTGTTGAATTATTTATATACAAGATTTGTTTACAGAAATTAATGATATAATCTCATAAGTAAATTAAACATTATACTATTAAAAAAATATGAAATTGTTTACCAATATAGCATTTAAATATTTAGAATATTTTCTTTATTTAATGTTGAACACAAGTTTTTTAAATTATAATAAGTATCTTTTTTTTTTTTTTTTAGAACTTTCAGTATAATAAGTATCTTAAAATATATAATTAAATTAAATATTGAAAACTTACATCTAAAAACAAATCCGTTGAGTTGTGTAGGCTAAAGTAATCTCTTGCAGTCATTATTCCAGGTGCTTTTACACCTAAGATCAATAGTAAGAAGCTTAATATATAATTTCCAACGAATAAACCGAATTCAATTTGACCATTTAAACTGAAAATAAATTATTAATAACACATGAATATAATTTAATACAAATCCATGGACAAATGTATTAACTAACTTATCTAATTTAGGCCACCAATCATCTCTTTTAATGGTAATGAAAGTCACATTTTCAGCGAGGAACACTAATACCCAGAAAATGAGCAAGACTAGACCATGTCCACGGGCTGGCATTGAGGGTAAGAGACTTTTTCTTTCCATTAGTATGAGTTTTGCCGATAATGGAAATACAAAAACCATAACGAGCATATATACAGCCTAAAAAATTAATAATATATTAAAACACGTAACAAAGTTAAGTCAGGTGGCTTTCATATTCAATTTCTTAATATGTACTCACTTGATAACCGTAAACAACACCATTTTGAATAATGTGGATGTCAACGAAAAACTTAGCTACTGCCAAAAGGGGAAGAAGAAATGTAATGATCATCTGAACATAGTATAACCTGGATTGGGGAATTGCAGCCTGCGATAGAGGCGTACTGTATTTTCTGTACATTGAGCATTGGGCTGTGCCAAATAGTATCATGTACACGGCCAAGGTACCAGCAACTGTGGTTTCTAAAAAACATTCTGATGTCTTGTTGACCCATAGATCAATCGATGAACCGTTTGGACAAAACATTTTCTACCAACTTGTATCCATAAATTATGACAAAAGTACAATTAGACAAGAGTAACAATAAAACAATTTACATTGAAGGTTTACATAATATTGCCACATTGATAAAATTTATATAAATATAACATGAAAGTCAAATATAAGTTAGTTGTTATATAAACCTCTATAAAAAGTATTTGATTAATTATAATCGGATAACATAAGTAATCCGGTTGGAAATAAAAAAATTACATGCACTGAAAAGACAATTTTTAATTAATAATAGCACATTATCGTCCCGAACATAAAACTAGGTTTAATTATTCAGAGAATTTGACTGATTATTGCAAATAATTATATAAATAAAACCGACATCCAAGTTTTCAACATGAATTGTTATCGGAATTGGATGAAGGAGGTCTGATACAAATATTATGATTAAAAAAAAATTGACTAAAATCAAACTCACTAGTTATGTTCAAATTTGATGATGTTTAATTGGTACCTACCTAGTACCTACTTAAAACTAAAAACTAAAAAAAATATTAAGTACATTTTTTTCATTTTATGAATCATCATTATTTATTATCATTTATAATCATAATACCGTTATCATTACTTATTATCATTCAATATCATTATCATTTTTATTATTGTTATTCGCGGATTAAGATAAAAGTTATTATATCTGAGTCCGTGTTGTTATTCAAATTTAACCCCCCACAGTCAAGGCTATAATTTCCAACGGGACAGACGAGGGTGGTCACGGGTGACCCATGTGATTTCATTCACTATTATAATTAGGCACTAAAAAGTTCATTAATCCTAATCCTGTATTAATTGTTTTTATATAGGTAAGAAACAGTCAATATTTTTTTGAATTTCTGTTTTTTCTTACTTATTATAAATATTATAACTTGTATACATAGGTAACAAAAAAAAAAAAACGAAACATTTTGTATCTTGTAAATGAACAAAAAAAACAATAAAAAAAAGGGTATGGTATAAACCGGCAGGTACTTAATAGTTAATAATATAATCCAGTTTGTAGTATTTTATCTCATTCCGGTCACGGCTCACGAGTGACCGAGCCTTGCCTGTTATTAAGGGTTAAAAGCACTACTGCGGCCTGTGACAGATTTAGGTTTTAAGCTGCGACAGCTGTAGATCTATTTACAGCTATCTGTGATTTATAGTCACTATATAAACAGTATCAAAGTGGATTATGAATATATACACATTGTCAGATAGGTACCTATATTATATAATATGTATTATAAAAATTACCTTGACCCATAATTGATATTAAACTGTTTACTGTACATAGCTGTGCCCCTTGGTGGCTTGGTTACAGTTATAATGTTATCTACCTCAGTGTTACAAGCGATGGTGAATTTTTGACCTAGGATATAGAAATGGTCTGGTAGTCGTGAGAGAGAGAATGAATCCGGGGACTTCTGGCGTGGAATCCCGTAATAAAGAATCTCGTAAGAAAATAACCCTATAGGTAATAAAAATGTCGTGTCCCTACACCTCATACTATATTCATAAGATTTCAGTATCAGTCTATGGATGATTTAAAATAAACAAATAGTTATTTTTTTTTAGTCACAATACATTTTTATTACAATGCTAATATATAAAACAAATAGGTAGTCAATTTTTTAAATCCATTATAATATTATACATTTATACCTGATCGGACTGATCGATATGATATGACTGACAAGACGGTCTCCTCTCTGAATTGTTTTTATCGTAGCCCATAGTTATAAAAAAATAATTTATCATTGAATCCAAATTTAACAAAAAAAATTTACATACAAATTATACGTATATTATACAAATTTTACTATACGCTTTGGTATACAATTGATTGTAAACTATTATAGCGCATTACCAACTTATACCATGAACACATTTTCAGTTCTCACTGTTCTTCACTTCTGCGGTTAGGTAGTATTGATTCAAAAGTTAATAAAAACAGTGTTAATAATTAAATATATCATTGCCTATCGTTGAATTCAAACTCAACACATCCATGATCCATCACACCTAATCATTTTTTTTTTAATTTTTCAAAATTTTATTTTTTTGGGGAGTCAACTATCTGAAGGGTTTTTATTATTATTATTTTTTTTTTTTTTTTTTGCGATAACTCTGGCATGGTATAAAGGACCCACAGTCTATATATTGATATGTCTATTCTCTGAGCCGTAAGGATAAAAGTTATATTTTTTCTTTAGATATTAACGTGTCCTCGAAATCACGTAACACCAATGGTGGTTTTACGGTAACTTGGAAGGAACTGGGGCCAAAAAAATTCAGTTGAATATATTTACATAATTTATTATGCAAAATATTATATATTTATATAGTCCTTTAGAACTTGTCGATAACTTACTGCCCGGCGCCCGTTTGCCCCTGGTTTAACTTAAGCCACTCGGCCGACAAAAAGGTGATACCTATACTAATCATTCACATTTCACGGTGAGTACCTACCTCGTTTACAACAGACGCATATCCTGCAGGATGTTATATTAGGAGGTTTTTCCTATATTTTTTTGTCTATCTGGTAATGTAACATTATTATAAATACCTATAACATGCAAACTGCAAACCATGTAAATTTTTTTATATATTTGTAGAGGTTTTATACAGAATTATAGGTAAAATCTCACTTACCTACTGTTCTATTGTTTAAAGTGTGGTTGGTGAATGACGGATAGAATAAAAGAAATATTAGAGAAACACGGTTTGTAGAATTCTGCAATAAATGTAAGTGTTTAAGTAATATATATATATATATATATATAATTACACAATTGGTGTAATCAGAGATAATAGTGAAGAATTATAATTTATACTTGAAATATTATCTTGGAATATAGATACACCTAACCTGATAAATAACAAATAAAAACTAGATAATGTAAGTACTTGATACTTGAATATTATGTACAAAAACTATATAATTTTTTAATCAATATTTTTAGTATTATACTATTACTAATTTTTTTATGTTTAAACAAGTCTCAATTGGATTATTAAATAATTTATACATTAGGTAAGTAGTTAAAAATACTAGTATTTATAATTAATGGTACAATTCTTTTCCCACATTTAAAACAATTATAATAAAATCCCCAATGTAAATTGTATTATGGCATAATAATTATAGAACATCAATCTTATATTATGTCATAGGCGTTATAGCAAATAGTCTATTCTTAAATTAATAGTTGTAATTCTAAGACTAATTGAAATTTACACCAAATTTTTATTTTATCAATTCATATAGCTACTTGATAAAATTTTCAAAATATTTTGACTTGTCTTAAGTGTTGGCGGACATTTTCAATCTTCATTTTTTTTTTTCTATAAATGTCAATTAAATATTATTTGTTGGGTCAAAAAGCATGAAAATTTAATACAAGGCTTCTGATATTTTTTGTAATAAAAGTTGAAAAATATTAAAAATACATATGAACGATTTTGTTTTAAAAGCATTTAAAGTTCAAATTTTGACAACATTTATCAAATTTAAAATTTAAAAACTATGTTGTAGTTAAAAATGTATAACATTTTCAACTTTTATAGCTAAGGATCAAAAATTTAAAACAAGGTTGCACACAAGTAGTTGATTTATTCTATAACCAAAAAATTAAAAAAATATATTTGCAGTTTTTTTTTAGAGTTATTTGAAGTTCAAATTTTAACGAAATTATATATTTAAACCCAGAATAACGATTCTAGTTATTTTGTTGTAATTTAAAAGTATTATTCATGGGTACCTACTTAAAACTTTTGGAGTAGGTATATTATTATATTGTATAAACACATCGATTTTTCAAATCTAATTTTTTGGCAAAAATGAATTTAACCTACTGTGGTCTAATGGCGTCTATATGCCTAGGTGTAGTATAATAGTAAAATAAATAACAATAATCACAATAATATCATCAAATATTCTAAGCAATATTATAAGCTGACCGACTTCGCTCAGAATCATTTTTCATTCACAATGATTTTTTATCATTAAATTCAAATTTAACAGCATTCATTATAGTGACTCACTTGTAACCTACTTTACAAAAGAGCGACATCCAATTACCCGTTTTTTTATTGCTAATTTGAGAATTTTAGGATTTTGAGATTAACGAAGTGAATTTTTGTTTGTAAATAGTTGTTATTGGTTGTACAGCTTATAGATTATAATAGCATGTATAATGTATTGCAATATAATGTCACTCGTAAAAATACCTAAACATAATTTTATTTTTATTATCCCTACCACATTTTTAAATTGATATTGAGATATATATTTATAATAAATTTGATATTTGTTCAAATCTTTTAAATATTTCAATAGAGTAATATATACCGTAATATCGAGGTAAAAAGATAAAAGATTGATACCGATTTATGTTTTATTATCTACTATGTATTATGTTAAAGTTTGATTTCAGTTTAAAAATATACAAAATTTTAATTTACTTGTTCACAGTTTTTTTAAAAATTTAAATTGCCATTATTGAGGTTCAGGGATTCAAAAAATGTATATATATATACATATGATATGTATATAAAATATAAGATAGTTAGAGACATCATTGTTGAATAATAAATTATTAATTCAAAAATGAATTACAGTTATAAGGCGTTGCTTTTTTTCCACTGCTATATATTGTGCTTTAAATAAAATGTTTTTATTGTTAAATCGCGTGAGACGCATCAATTTGTTCAAGGCTTCTCGGTCTAGTGTCGTTGTATCTGTGCCAATGTATCTAGGTAATTAATTATATGGTTAATAGTTACTGTTTGGAGGTGTAGTAGCTACATTTAAAAAAAAAATTTGCAAATTCTACGTAGGGTACTACCTTGAAAATGTATTTTTGTTTTTCAATGTACTTACCTCGTTATTCACAACGTATAAGTATTAAGTGTATAATTACTATGATTAACCTTTTTTTCCTTATGAATCGCTAACATGGAGGGGCCAGGGGTACTGCGTTAGCATTACTTCTCCGACATTATTAACCCTCAATAATTGGGAATCTATATTCACCTTATACATTTCAGATTTATATATTATAAATAAAATTCTTATTCTAAAAGCGTGTACCTACCCACTTACAGGTTGTAATAATACAAAATTTGTATCACGTTGTTTTCATTAATGAATCAAAGAGGACTTGAGGACCAGGAGGACAACATTCCATCTCTATAGGTATAATTGCATTGACATTTAAAGTATTAAATAATTTTTGTGCGCATAGATTTATCAATATAAGTACAATAAGATACGATTTAAATTATTTAAATACCTACCAGATGAACGCGGTAAGACGAAAGAGACGTTAGAATATAATGTTAAATAGGCGCATATTGTTATAATAAAATAATAATATATTAATATCTATATTATGTATTTATATATATTGCATGCGAAATGATGCATTTCATGTTAGGCACTCATTATAAGTATCTTACGTAAAATGGATCACTGCTCTGTATATTTTATTTATTATTATATATTAATATATTGTATCATAATGTATTATAATTTATA